AGTTAAAATAAAATTTAAACAAATGAAGCGTAGAAACGCAATTAGTAATTTTGAAATAATTCAGCAAAGCAAAAATCATCAAAATATCACTAATCGTTTCGACGTCGATAAAACCTGGGTCGGTTACATAAGCGTCAAGTTTCTTTTTTAGACTGAGAAAGAAATCCCATAAAAAGTTTACATGAAATAAGTTCAATAATATAGCTAAAACAAAAGTTAAATTGCTGAAAATTTCTTGCAAACTTTTTTTACAATTTAGTTTCTCAATGAAGAAATCATTAATCATAATTATTACACATCGTGATAAAGAATAAATAATTTCTTTTTGTATATTATCATCCTGTTTTGACATAAGTTCTATGTTATAATCTTTAAAACGCTCTTTACAATAATTGTTTACTAAAGTAATACAATGAGAAATGTTTGGCTCGGTTACTTCAACGTATACATCGGTAAATTTTTTATGAATCTCGTTAACTAATCTAAAAAAACTTTTTTTATCTTTCTCTGAATCTAGTAAAGTAATAATATGAGAAAAATGTTCAGGGCTCAAAGAATTAGAAATTGAAGTGAAAATACTGTATGCTCTAATTGAATTTTGTTCTTCATATTTATCACCTTTCTTTATAAATTCAGTCTTGTTATTCTTCTTGTTTAATTTATTAAGTGACGAAATCGCTTTTTCTTCCTTAGTCTTAGATTTAGTATCAATAGAAAAATCAACCTTTGATTTATCACTATCTATATAAAATAAATCATCTTGATATTGATAAAAAAGTGATTTTAAATTATTCTTTTTTTTGCTCAATAAGAACAACTGCTTAAGTGGAGAGATTTTATTTCTACCTAACTTATTTTTTTTTTTACCGCCTATTACAAATTTGTTCAAAACATTTTTTGTATTTTCTTGTACTTTCATTTTACTTGGTTTTACATTGTAACATAATTTAATTCTTTAAATTAGAGTTTTCAGTAAATTCAAATAGAAAATTAGTAAATAATAACGTTAAATTTCTATCGAGTTGAGAATTTTTATCAGTACATGACTGGTTTAATATACAGCCAAAACAGCCGTTCAGTTTTTTTTTGTTACATTCACATTCATTTAAAGTTCTACGGCATTCTTTTAATATATCGATAAAAGCTTGTATTTCACAGTTTTTTTTAAATACTCCGCTTAGCAAACCGTTAGAAACACTAGACGATTTTTCTAACACAACTATGGGAATAGTTTGCATCATGTTTTGATTCCAAACGAAATTCGTACAGTTGACGAAAAGGTCGTCAATAGAGCTCCAACATTTTGTAAGTAAAATTTTTATTAGTAAATGACTAAGGCCATGTATTGCTTTTATATATGATAATAAATCAATATAATTGTACTTTAACAGAAACTCTGCTTTAATAAATTTGTCAATTTGAATTTTAAGACCGAAACTATCCCAATTGAAGCTAGGTAACTGCAATGGTACCTTTACAATTTTTCCCGAAGAAAAAATCTGTCTAAAATATGGTACTTCTAACACGCTGTTAATAACTCCAAAAGTAATATTGGCTATCACAAAGTTGTTAATGTTAATATCACCTTTGAAAGATATTTTTTTAATCGAAAAATTCAAACGATCCCCAGGTTTTGTATAATAATCGATCTGTGATCGAGGTTTATCAATAACACATGTTAAATGACGAGGCAAAAACGATTGAACCAAATATTTGGTTCCGTTATAAAGGTAGAGAGCGCCCGGATAACACACTAAATACGAGGTTAATAATTCAACTTCGTCTATCTCTTTATTATTGTGTTCGATAAACTGCGTTTTTATATCACGATAATTTTCTTGCTCACTTTGATCTTCAATATTGATCCTGTAAACTTTTACTTTAGGCATGAAAGATGCTCTGATGTTTATCATTTTTTGCGGGTTTTTAATGATTTTTACAGTTGCGCTGTTGATTAGAAAATCAGAAATACTCAACGAATTCATGTTGATTTTTTTTGCTTGTTCTTTGTTTTGTATGTCTGGTTTAGAGAGCAAGAGTAGCTTTTCTAAGTTTTCCTCGTCAAATCCCGTTTGTACCACCGATTCTGTTAAATTTTCTATCACCCTAGTTGCATTTTCAGAACGCGTTTTTGATTCCGATTCAAACTCTTTTAGGACTTGTTTAGAGTTCACCGTATTATCGAGAAAAAATTTTTCTGGAGTTGAAGCTCTGAACTTGTAAAAATGATCATTTATAATTGAAATCTCATGATTCGCAAAACTTGAGTTCAAAATTTCATTGGTATTATCTCCAAATAGCTCGACTAATAAATCTTTATGGACTGGTACAGGGATTTCTTCCAATAAGCAAAATAAATGTTGTTTAATTATTTGAGAGTCTAATAAAGAAAAACTAACAGATTCTGAACTTTTGTTCCAGAGCTGTTCTTCGACATTATTTGCAATATACGTTTCTACAGGATTATCAAAAACAATCAAAAACCCTAGGCAAGACTTGTGTGTTTGTCTACCTGCTCTTCCAAGTCTCTGTCTAATACTGCTGATTGATCCATGAAACCCTAAACTAATCACGCAATTCATCTCTCCAATGTCTATACCTAATTCCAAAGCATTAGTACAAATAACTCCTAATATTTTATTGGAGAACAACTCGTTTTCTAACGCTCTACGTTCTTTAACACTATAACCGGCTCTGTAGGTAACTATTTGATTTCTTATTTCTGGAACATTTATAAGTTTATTCTTAACTTCCACATAAATGTATTCTACTAGCGCCCTTGAATTGCAAAACAGGAATGTTCTTAATTTCTTCTTAACTAAAAAAATAAACAAGCATATAGCTTCTCTAATCGACGAATATCTTAGTTCGATAACATCGTTCAAATATTTTTTCAAGGGTGGTTTCCAAAGTATGTAATACCTAAGTGATCTAAAGCTTCCATCATTAGAAATTAATTTAAAATTATTATTTGCTGTTAGTCTGTTTGCATGTTCCAATGGATTGCCCAATGTAGCTGTAGATGTTATAATTTGTAAGTTCACATAATTGCCAATATTTTTTATTTTGTCAGCTCCAAATTTATACATTCTGCCCAAACAAAAACGTTTCGCTGTCTGTAATCTACGCATAATATATGCAACATGTGACCCAAAAATACCTTTGTAAGTATGTGCTTCGTCTAGAACTATCAATCTAAGAAAAGATATGAAATCATATTTCATTAATATTGAAATATTTTGATGTATGAAATCAAAGTTTGTGAAAATTAAGTTAGTATTTTGTATTAGGTCGCTTCGTTCTTTAAAATTAACATCACCATCTAATATTTTCACGCAAATCGAATCTACACAATGACCAAGCTTAATAATTTCTTTGAGTATTTGATTTAATCCTTGAAGTTGGTTTTGAGCCAAAGCTTTTGTCGGATAAATAAAAAAAATTGTTTTTGTCGAATCGGTCAACAATAGGTGAATGGAATATAACATAAAAATTAACGACTTCCCACTGGCCGTATTAGTACTAATGACAATATTTTCTTCTTGCAGTAACCGATCGAATCCTTCAGCTTGATGACAAAATAATTTACTATTAAGCTTAGAACTTTCAATATAATTTTTAATAGCTGGATGAAATTTTTTAAAATGAACTGGAAGTGAATACACTGCGTCAATTTGTGGTTCGATATGAATTGTGCATTGATCTTGATACCAGTTTTGCTCTTTTAGTTCAGATAAGATTAAATCGCAATCGACATCTTTAGAAACATGATTTATTAACGTAAAATATGGAAGAATAATATCGATTAATTTTTCATTTAAGTAAATATTTTCACTCATATTACTTTCAACATCGATAAGATATGTTTCTTTTTCCTTCACTAGTAAACAAATTTTACTATCGTAATTTAATGTTATGTCACGATATTTTGGGCTTGTATGTTTTTTTTCAATAATTTCATTATTAATAATATGTATAAAGTTGGATGATTCAGAAATCCATTGAACTAATCTGAGAAGAGGCAAATCAAAGTCAATTTCTTTACTATCTTTCACATAATTGATTAAATATAAACGCTGAGTAAAATCTGAGTTACATTGTTTTGTCCATTTATTCGATAACTGAGTTAAAAAACTTTTAATTGTTGTGGAAACACTTTCAAAAGTAATAGAATAATCAAGAATATCAAAGGTTATTTTAAATAGTTGGTTAACATTATGACAATTTGGTTTAGTTTTTAGTTTATTGTTGACAATCATTGTTATAATTAATAATATAATGTAATTATTTAAATTTAAGAAATATTCATAGAAATTAGAGATATAACATTTTACTCCGATAGTGTTAATTTAAATTTAATTATTTCTTTTTTCATGTTAAGCTTTATGATTACTGTTCATAAAGTCAGGTAATCTTCTTAAATACAATTTTTTTCCGTCTAATCTACGTAAAATTAAAACACTATTTATAATACTAGTTTCGTGAATTCCTTGTATGAACTGTCTAATATAAATATCGGATTTTAAACAATGTCCAGAGTTTTTATGCTCAGAATCAAAGTGAGAAACCACGATAACGTTGCGTTTAACGTTATATTTTGCGCTAAAATCATTACAATGCGAATAAACTTTCATAGAATTTTCATTTTCAAACTGAATAACTAAATTAGTTGGCCAAGCGAAAAATTCTTGTAGTCGCTTATTCGATAAAGAAACAGCATTCATCAAAGTCCAACTACCTAACAATTCAGGAGCTATACTATCAGCTTTAAGATTTGAAAGTCTGGCTAGAGTAACAATAAAAAGTAATAATGGACTAATAAATTTCATAAACAAAGTTTTGTTTGTATAAACAAGTTAGAATCGAATCAATATTAATTGTGACTTTTAAGTATTTTAGACCAATAATGATTAAATTATTTGTTATTCTATAGATTAATTCAATGTGTGTTTTCATTATTTCACACACGGTTTCATTTCAAAAGGAAGATGAAATAAAATTTATTCATTAATACTTGATATGAGTTTTTGCAAAATCACTTCATGATCAAACATAAAACTATTTTCGTAATCTTTATTATAAGTAAATCCCGTAGCAATCAAAAAAATCTCGGAACTTTCTTTTCTACTGCTTTTAGGTTTATAAAAATGACAGTGTGAAAAAAACAAAGATGTTATAAACTGAGTTAAATGCTGTCTTTTTCCCATGAAAGTTTTACAAACAAAAGTACCATTTTTTTTTAATAATTGGTTACAAAAAATTAACGCTGAGTAAATGAGTGAAAACTGTAAGTCCTCAGCTGTTGAATTCAAACCCGCCACGTCAGGAGCTCCGTCGCAAACTACTAAATCAATTTTGCAATTATTAAATAAATTACAAACTTTTTCTAAAGTAGATTTGTTGCAAATATCGCCTTGAATTATTTCTACGCCATCAATCTCTCCTATGTGTTGTAAATCAACAGCTACTAGTTTTCGTTGTGGGCTGCGTTCGATGTGTCGAGATAAAACTTGCGACCAGCTACCAGGTGCGCCACAAAGGTCTAAAACCTTTTGCACGCCTGCAAATATCCTGAACTGCTCTTCTATCTCTAATAATTTGTAAGCACTTCGTGCTCTGAAACCTTCATTCTTCATTCGAAGTGAGTATAAATCAAAATAATCTTTAGTTAACTTGGTCATATATCGATATAAAATAAATAACTGTTGAATCAATAAACTTTATTATACATTATTTTGTATTTTAATGCCCTACTGAAAGTTTAAAAATTAGTTGGTAATATTTTACTATAACAATAATAAGTTTTTTCAAATATATTATCTGTGTTAATTTTACAATCTACTATTTCATTACTTTTATTTTTAAAATGTTCTGCGTTATAATAATTATCAAGAATGTTGTGATTGTCTAACGATTCGTAAAAATAATTATAAGAATATAGACATTTATAGTCAATCAAAATGGTACCCTTGATGCTTGTTGATGCCAGTAAAACAGATTTTTTTTCTCCATTTACAGTTGCATTTACTATGTGTAAATCTTTAATCGTCCCTAATTCTAAGTGAGAATTATCATATAATAATAAAGGTTTGGCTAAATCAAATATGTTATAAACTATCAGTCCGTAACACAAACTGATTATAAGAAAATTTTCTGTAATTAATGTTGCAGAAACAGTTACCCTAGAGGTTCTTGGTAATTTTATTATTGAAAAAATATTTCTAACAAAATCTTGAGAGTGATCTTTGTCAACTTTAATAAACTCTAACAGCTGTGAATAGTTTACAAAAACGCAGTATTTATGATAAAATACCACTAGATATTCGTTATTAGGCTCATCTTCGTTTATCATTAAATTATTAATCGAATGAGTACGTAGATCATTGTTTTTTTTCGACAATCTAATACCAAGATATTTGGTCCAGGAAGATGAATTTTTCGTGTCGTCGGTGTTTTCAGAAATATTTTGACCTAGTAGTTGAGCCATTATCAAATTAAAATTTATTTTTCTAATGAATACAGGATCTTCCTGAGATATATCAAAAATTAGAAAATTTCCAAGGGATGTTCCTGTAACAGCATAGATTTTATCGTTCAAAAAAAGCGTTACTATACTTTTTAATTTTTCATTTTTGTTTTTAAGCGGAGTTTTGATTAATCCATGAGAAACGATGTGGAGATACTTATTTTCGTACTTTAATAATTTAAGACTATTTTCTGAACCTATTAAAGCAATATAATTTCCGTGTGATGTGTTTTTATAAGTTTTAATAATAACTTCTGAAAATAGAATTTCAAACTGGTTAATTAAATCCAATTCTAAACTACCATTAATAAGATTATAAGAATATAAAGCGGCAGCACCCGCTTCATTAAAAATAATTAGCGCTTTTTCGTCGTGAATTATCTCTAAATGAATAATTTTTTCATTGAGTTCTTCAATGTAAATGGGCATTAGATTCTCAGCAGACATGATTTGTGATAAACAGTCTGATTGATCGAAATCTAGGTTTTCTAAGTAATCATAATCAAAATAAAGACTTGGATAATTAAAACATGCTATTCCGGAAGATTTAAGCGGATCTATAACGTTCCAGACCTTACCAACTTTCAAACTGGCTGTTGTATTATAAAATAAACTAAATATGATTCCAGATGTAGCACATTGCGCGCTAAAAATTGAACAAAAATTTGGAAAGACGTCCGAAACAGCTAAAACATAAAACTGAGCAGCTTCAATTTGATTTTCCAATAACCCAAGAAATTGTATCATTGGTTTGGCGAGACAAACGTCAGGTCTTTTAATCAAGTCTGTAAAATAACTTTTTAATTTATACATTCTAATCTCCGCTGTTTCTGGAGAATTAGGACGAGTAAAAGATTTTGTTGGGGGGTTAGGTAGTGAGCCAAACGATAAATTTTTTAGTTCTGTGTCTAAGTCATGAAACTCTTGAAATCTTTTTTCTAAGTTTAAGTTAAACGAACCTAATATAACTGAAAAAGTATAAATAAAAGTTTTTCCGTCGTCTGATGGCTTATAGCTGTTAAATTTTACATCTATAGCATTAGACATAATTAACCATTGTTTTTTACCTCAAAATAATTGATTAAATAATCAAAATTTTTTTTCAATTACTACATGTTCAAATAAGGCAATTTTATTGACTATTAAAATACAGAAAAATGAATCGTTTGATTATTGTTAGTCAATTTTTAGGGGATCCACTTTTCGGGGCAGCATTTGCTCCTCGTGAGGTTGTTTTAGTGGGAGATTTTTTAGAAAACATCTCTGAGGACATTAGCGAAGCCAATGAAGATCGAAGCGCGAAGTTATTAAATGTGAAACAGGTTATTGTAAGCAAAAAAGAACAAAACTTGAGACAAGGAAGTAAATGGAACGAGTTAATTTTGACTTTAATGAATCAAAAAACTCCTTGTTGCATAAACTCATACTTGCCTAATGAAATCTTTGATGAAATTCCTTTGGTTTGTCAAAGGTTTTTAGATACTTTGCGCACATTAGGTTTGGATGCAACTGACGAAGTATACATATACGGATGGCAGTTAATCATGCTTCCTAAACTAATACAAGAAGTTATGGAAAACAGAAAAATATATTTCCACTTAGGTCATGTTGTGCCTGCTGATGAACTTTTAAGAATTATTCCTTGCTTAGATAGTTTACTCTCTTGTATTCTTTGTTCCCATGCTTTGTTGTTTCAATCAGAAACGTGTTTAGATGAATTTAAATCTATTGCAGCAAGAGTTCTAGGATCAACTTACAATAACGGAAAACTATTAACGAGCGATGGATCTAAATACCACGAAGTTTTGTGTATAATTTCTCCACTAGGCAGAAATTTGCAAGCTTTAATGACATTAAATTCTAATTACTTCTGTAGTGCTTTTGGAATTCCTATTAATAACAGAGAAATTATGGCTCAGGCTTTGAACAATGTCATTCAGGACAACGCGCATGACAGTGAATCAACAGCAAATGCGTCTTTTTATAATTCAAAAAATAAATACATTGTCTGCTTGGATTCAACAATCGATGACCCTAAATCACTAGAAATGAGAGTACAGGTAATGGAACGAATTTTTAAAAAAGGCGTGAAAAATGTGGAATTTATTCAAATTTACTCGCACGGAAACACTTACGGTTCTCCGTTTCCTATGTCTTATCCTTTAAGTGAAGAAGAACGATTCAAAAAATTCAAAGACCCTTTATCAAACATAGCAAATATCAATGCTAAATACGGTTCTGCGTCGTATATTCCGATTAAAGTATTTTGGAGTGTTTCTCCTAGTGTCTGGCTGTACTTGAAAGAAGCTACGATTTTTTGGAACGCTCAGTCTCAAGAAATCTTTTCTTTACCAATGATTTACACAATGCTTTTAAATGGAAATTGTAAGTATTTAATAAACAGTAGGAGTTACACAGGAAGCGTTGTTAAGTCTTGTTTAAGCAACGAGTTGCCTTCAATCGAACTTTTTAATTTATACGATATAACTGGCACAGTCCAAAAAGTAATTAATCTTCTGGAAAAAACATCGACTATATCATTTAATTCAGGTATAGATGAGTTCGTTCAAAAATTAATTTGTAACATTGATCTTGAACATCACGTTAAATGTGTAAATGAACTAGACGCAAAAGTTAGTCAAATTATGTCTCATCGAAGTATGTCAATAAAACCAATCGCTGAAACTGCGTTATTTAACTATATTCGAGAACATATAATTCAAAAATACAGTTATGTTATTTACATAACCTCAATTTCAGATATTCTTAAAAAACCGGGAAATGATTGTGAAAATCAAAGCAATTGCGACGAGATTGACTTGAAAGAAAGAAATTATTACAACGAAGAAACTCAACTAAAAGTCAATGACAGAATCATGAACTATATCAAGAGTAATTATGCTTCTTCAGTCTCTGAAAATCTATCCTCAATAGATTTAGACTTAATGTTGGACAAGTCCGCCATTGGATTTCAACCTGCGTGTAACGTCCCGTTGCCAACTGTTATTACTGCATTTAATGCCCTGAAATCTCTTTTGAAAGAAAAAAAAAATCAATCTATTGATGATAGTAATGAAATACTTGATTCTATTCCTATGATTAACGCGAAAACAACTTGTTTAATCAGCGATAACAGCAGATCGATAATAGAAAACACTTATACCACTTCTGATTCGATGGGCTCTAGTTCTGTTAGTAGCTATTACACTGAGGAAAATAGCACTGAGGATTTGTTTAACAAAAAAATAGATTTCGATTTGATTTTGTACGATAAAACCTCTGGCGGATATAACTGGTATAATTTAAATAATTTATTAGTTATGATTGAAAATGGACACGCTGTAAAATCAAAAGGCTCTAAGTACTTTACGAATGTTGGACCGCTTGATAGTTCCCTTCTCGATCCAATCAAAGATTTGATGGAATACTATAAAACTAGAACTCAGTATAGTTACATAGAACAAAATTACACTAACATTAGCTTTGTAATCACCAAATTTAACGGAGACAATCACCTATCTTTGAATCAATTACAAGGACACTTGGAAAGTGGTGGCCTGATAAAAGACGAAAATTTGAACATTTCGCGTTCAATCAACGCCTTGACGGTATCAGTAAACATTAACGTTCTCAAAACTTCTTTGGAAAATTCTATCAAAAAATTAATTGACGAGAAAAATCTGCTAGCAAAAGATGCCGCAATTATATTATTAGAAAACAACCTAAGCAGTTTATTTGAAAACGATCACGAATACCAGAAAATATCTCAATATCATATATCTGTTGGACCTACGGCAACTAGAAGTAACTTTTCTTTGAAATCATACATTAACGCGAAGCAGTTCTTGTTTTTAATTTTACAATATTACGCTAAAATTTACAATGTAGAAGACAAACTGTTTAGTGGATTACATAATGAGTGGTTTATAAATGCAAGGAAATATGCTTGCTCAACACCTGATATTCACAGCGAAACTTCAGATAACTGCTTAGACGAACCTAATCGCGCGGCTGAAATACTAATTTCTCAGATTCTGAGTAAGGCTGTTGCGTCTGCTCCAGCTGAGAACTTCCGATAATCAAATCGAATGTCATATTAACTTACAGCATTTTTTTTTGAGAGTTTTAGTTTTTTTGAACAATTGTTGACTCGAATAAGACAGGTCGTTACTCTGATCTACCAAATCATTAATATTGTTTATATTTTTTATGATATCACTCAGATTTCTTTGCACAGTTTTTTTGTTCCGAATGATTTTGTTTGTTGTGATTGTTAACGCGTCAAACGTCGAAGGATCATAGTATTTATTTATCAATTCCTTTAATTTGGGTTTGTATTCAAGAAAACATTTATCTTCAGAGAACGATTCAAATTGTTCGCGAGTAACGGTTTGATTCAAGTCGTCGTAAATAACGGAAATCAATTCAAAGGCTATTCTTTCAGGGTAATTTTCATCAGTCAACACCGAAATACACAGTCCTGTGGTGAACTTGATGGCAAAAAACGTAAATTCGTTGTGAACAATAGATTCCTGCTGAAGAACGCCGAGTCGAGGTATTATTTGTCTAGATAAAAAATGACTTACATCTTTTATTGAGTTTCTGTAAACAAAACTAAAGCTACAATATAATAAAAATTTAATCCATGAAATTATGCACTTACGACTTAAGCTGATATGAACTGACTAAAAAAATTGGTTTTTCTTGACCAGAAATGGTTTTAGAAATTATCACCCCTAGCAATTTCATAGAATAATAATTATTTTCATAATATTATACATAGAGATCAAAAATACGCTTAGATAAAACAGATAATTTTCAACGGCAATGTTGTGAAGTCCGCTTTATAATGCATGAAAAAAGATGGTGTACTTTACCGTTGCATGCATTTATCTTTTTGATTAATTAATTGTATAAAGGAGAATTAAGGTATAATCATTAGCTAAAATACAATAAACTTAAAATGACAGAAAACTCATACGAATACTTAGCTAGTTTACCAGGCTATGAGAAAAAAAATTTTTCTTACCTACTTGATTTTACACCACGCAATAACGATAAAGTTTTAGGTAAACCCAAGTACTACTGTAAGTTTTGAATGATATACATTCTATAGACAAAAATTTAAAACCTTTTAAACCCAAAGGATCCGATGACTTATTTACTCCTATCGATCCAGCTGCTTTATATACGCAATTTTTTAGTTCAGTTTCTTATCCCTACGGAATTCCGTCCGATAAGCAAGAATGTCCATACAAAGTTTTCACTCCTAGCGTTACCGTCTGTGAAAACTTAGTTGATAATAATAGTGAATACAGCAACGACTCTTCAAGAAGTGCACAGTCTGAAAGTTCATCACTCGAATGGAGTGAATCAACTATAGATTCAACTTTGAATCAATCGATGAAGTCAGTAGTTATTACGGACACAGTTGAATTAGACGAACAGCAGTTCGATGAAGAAAAACCACACGTCGTTAGCGAATACACTAGTAAATATTACTTTTCGGGAGAATAAAATAATACATAACGCAACCAAAACTAAGGAGTGAGTTTTAAAGAATTTAGCGCTATTAGAGTCAAAAGTTCACGTAGTACTTTTTTTGTACGCATATAAAGTATTTTTATTTAGTTTTTTTTATCGGATTTACATTAAATTAAATACATAGTTTATATCTCCACCAAATGGATAGTGTTGAAAAAGTTAACAATCAATTTAACAACGAAACTAAAACTTTAAATTATGAAAGAGCTCAACTTTACAAGTTGATTGTTAAATTAGGTGACGTTCCCAAAAAATTTAAGCAGAAATCAAACCAAATAGCGGCTTCTATAAACCAGTTGTTGAGTCTTGAAATTCAAAACTTGAGTATTCTCACTTATGAACCGCTGGAAGCTAATTTTAGCAGTGAATCTTTTTGTTCGTGGCTTACAAGGATCGTAGTTGAGACGAATTTTGAAACTGAAACAGTAAAGCTGATCGATTTAGTGACAGAATGCATTATAACTTTACCTCATAAACATTCTTATTATGTAAGTTTTATTTTTAGTTTGTTTTTACATTATGCTAAAACTGATGATTTTCATCATAAAATAATCAACGTGTTAGATAACCTTCCACACGTGAATATTGTCAAGTCCGTAAAAGTTCAGGCATCTGAGCACATCAAGCGAATTTCTCAGGATGACCAAAGGTTTGCCTTTTATATTTTGTTCCTGCTTAAAATATGTCATAACGTGTTTTATAAAATTACAGAAGTTTTATCTAAGAATCATAGTATCGACGAGATTTACAAAGTAAGCTCTGCATTACGTTTTTTGCTGGATCTTAGTTCGTTTGGAATTTTTGATTTCACTTTGCTGATCAAATACGTAGAAGACGTGATTTCAAAAACCGACATTGATTACGCAGTCAGGGTTGTGTTTTTTTCTTCGCTAATTTTTATTAATAAAGACATGTACAACGTTCATTCTGAGTTAATATTGAATTCGATTTCAAACTCTATTTCGATTTTGGATTGCGTGGAATTTTCTCTTGATTCGTTTTTTTTTCAGTTTTACAGCGAAATAAAAAAAAACTTGGGTTTATTAATCGAAAGAAAGTTTATTTCTTTAAATATATTTAGATTTTACGAAAGAGAAGTAATTTCAAGTATCAGATATGTTTTCCCTTTCCTTCTTACGTTTAACTACAATATTGATAACAATTTTGTATCCAAAGATTTCAGCAAATTCAGATATCTGACAAACTACGAAAATGTTCCTGACAAATCAGTTCGAGTTTTTAAACTGTGTTACAACTGTATCGTAATGAATTATTTAATTTTTCCTACTGATAATCAGTACCTGACGAAAGAATATTTACGACAAGTACTTGACGTTGCTGAGTTAGACGAAGCAGATAAATTACTGACAAAGATCTACATAGTAGATGTTTTACAGGCTTTTGCTGGGCGAATTGATTTTTGTGCTGAGCAATTACTACTATTGCCGGTTATGCATGATTCTTATAATTTACTACTGATACAATGGCTTTTTAGCATTTTCTTCGATGGAAAATTGCCAGTTTTCAGTGGTGTTGGTTATACAGGCCAATTTTCAGGTGTTTACTTGGCTCAGCTCTGCGTTTGTCTGTACATATTAGCTCCTGAAATTCTTAACATAATCGTTGAATGCTGCCGGAACTTGCTAGATGTGTTGCCTAATTTATCTACACAGGCTTACTGGAACTGTGTTTCATTTTTTTCACATATAATGAGCTTTGATAACAGTTTGGCAGGCTTAGTAAAAGACCTGTTAAACAAATTAGCCACGTCTAATGCAGCCTTTATTTCTAAGTTAACAGAACAGTCTAACCTTATAATTAGCGATTTATTTGGGTATTCGGATCCTGAGTACTTCTACGCTCATTTCTTGTTTTATGTCTGCTTTAACAACCAATCGTTTTTGCCCAACAATATAGAAGAAAAGAGTTATTATTTCCAAAAGTTTTCAAAAATACTTCCATCTGAGCCTGATTATTACTCTATCTACAATTTTTCCAAACTTACTCTCGACAACAATGAAGTGGTTCAGGTAGCCGAAAGCATCACTAAAAACAATTTAAATCCTACTCTTCTGCCAATCGAAATCCTGTTGTTTAAGCAATTATGTAGGTACAGAATACTTAGCCCAATAGAGCAATTCACAATGCTTAACGAAGTTTATTCCCTCTTAACGGCTTTAGTCGGCAAACCACTTGTCAAAGACATATCAAACTTAAATATAGACGAGTTGATTTTTTGTTCAGAACAAGCTGGAACAAAACGCACCTTTGAACTTTCCGCAACGTACATAAACAAAAAGCTCAAAACTTTGAAAACAAAAGACGAAATTGATGCACCAGAACAGGAAACTGTTGATGTAGATAACTATAACGCAAACTCTAATATTTCAGAAAACTTAGTTAAGAATTCGCTCATTAGTCTCGATAGCATTTCGTCTAAAAAGTCGAATCTTTTGCCACACATCATATTTGACGCTGATACTGACTTCACTTGGTCAATACAAACACTTTCCATCATTCTTGCTTATGCTTATGTGTGTATAAGTAGCAAAACGTTTACACACTTTTTGCGACTCACTGAGCTGTACTATGCTTTATTTATGAAATGGTGTAGCGAGTCTGATCAACACGCGGATTATTTTGAACGTGGACTTATTTCTTCGATAATTATTATTTTCTCAACAAACTTAAAACGAGCTTATATTGTGATCGAACATTTGATTTTGCGGGGACTAATTCGTATTAATGCTATTATTGAGTTCATAGAAAAACACCCTAACTGTCACTTAGTTGAAGTCTATTGGTTTCAGCTAACTAATCTAATTTTACAAGTTAGTCTGTCTGGCTTACCTAAGTTCAACAGAGAAGAAGCTGTATCAATAACAAAGAATAAAATTGAAAATCCAACGGGCGAGGTCAAACAAGAATTAAAAGACTTTTCTGCTCTACCTTATGTATACACACAAACAGTTGAACTTGCTTATCTGATGACCGAAAGCGTCACTCTTAAATTAAACACTGTTGAATGCATTAAAAAACTAATTGCAATCTTACAGATCAGCCACAATTATTCAATTGAAAAAAGAATCAACTATTTACATTGTATAATGAAAAATATAACCTAATTTACAATTTATTATGTAGGATCGTAAATGATTGTATTAAGATCATAGTATAAATTAAGATTTTTATAAAACAGATTGAATATCTTAGATAGCAGATTCATAAGTGGAATTTGACTGAATAGATTCCGCGCTAGATGTATCGTCACGATCTTGTTTAGATTTTTCTATGGTGGCGTTGTGAGCTTCTTGAACAGGTTGCCAAGCCGCATTTAATTGAGATAATATTTCTTGTAAAACTTCAAAAGTAGCGTCGTCAGAGTATTCTGCGATTTCTTCAGCTTCGTTTATTATATTATTTAACTTAGTGCGATCTTCTGGAAGAATAAATTCAGCGTACTTTGAATCTAGCTCTAGTTCTTCCTTGAGTCTAAAGCATTCGTTTAAAATTTCGTTTCTAATGTTTTTAATTTTCATGGTTTGTTCATCACGCTCTGAAATAGCTTTTTCGCGTTCCTGAATGAGCTTGATTTGTTCTTCAGTGTAAATCGAGAAAAGAGGAGCGGAGGACACGTTGACAGAGTGGTTGACAAAAGTAGTCTTGGATCTAGTCTTTTTGACCTTTTCTTTCTTGTCCTCAACTGGTTCGTTGTCCTCGCCTAGCACGGGCACTTCTTCTTCGTAAGTTTCTTGTGTTGTAACCTCTTGTGTTATTTGAGCAGTCACGTCGAAATTTTTTGATTCGTCTAACACAATCTTTATCTTAAGTCCGCAAGAGTCCGCTTTTTCTCTAAGGATCTGCTGGACATTTGCAGAGATTGAAAAATTGAACTTCATCAATTCAGTCTTGTAGAAGTAGACTACGGATAAGTTGTGGAAAGACTTCAGGTCTGTAATTAGGATGTTCTTACAGAAAGATTGCGGAACAACGCTGTTTGGAGCAAACAATGGAAGAGCGGTGTGTTCCGAAGAAAATTTGACGTAGTCTATTTGATTCTTTTTGTCGTCAAACACTCTAGCGGAGAAATTCTTTGGAAATAATAGCAGAACTGGTGAATCTAAACAATGACGCAAATTAAAAGTGGCAACTTTGAAACGAGGATCTAAAGTTGCTGCCTTAATAGCAGCACCTCGGGCTACACATTCTTCCGAACTCAAAGTTCTTGAAAGTCGCAAAGAAAAACAAGATTCAATACATTTTATGACAAATGGAGCTCTAGTTCCACCTCCAATCACTTCTAAAGAATTTATCTTTCTGTCATCAATATCTGCCAATCTTGCCATAGTAAAATTAAAGAATTTTTGCAATTTCTCACGATAGGACTCGGATATTTGTTCGAATTCTTCTCTAGTTATTGTAGTCTTGAAATCGTTGTCATTGAAAAAGCATTCCAAATTCAATGTAGTATTTGTATTGGCACTAAGTACTTTTCTCACTTTTTCAAGAGCGACAGATAGTTTGAAAATAGCTTTTTTGCAAATAGAAGCGTCACAGTTGAACTTTTTGTTGAATTCTTGTAGATAGTGTTCGACCAACAATCTGTCAAGTTCTCTGCATCCCAGTTCGTTGCTCTGTATTGATAAAATTACAGTTGTGCCAGTTGTGGTAAAGTCAGCAACAGTCACGGAGCATTGACTATAACCGATGTCGATAAATCCAACACGAGTAGTGTTTTCAGATTGCATAATATTTCTTCTGAAAAAACCAAAGTCAAGCACGGTGGCGTATGTGTGGGGTATTGTGCTCATGCAGACTAAACCGGCAAGAACACACGCTTTTTTGACTATGTCGATTTCAGGAATACCGAACCATACCGGAATTGCAATAACTGCTCCCAAAACAGGAGTTTTTAAGTAATGTTCGGCCATTATTTTAATTTTTTTGAGAAAAGGAATTAATATTTCTACAGCAGTTACACTGTTGGATTTTTCTACATTAAACGAGACGAAGTTATTTTCCTTTTCTAAACTTAATCGACACATTGTGTATAGGGATTCATGTTCTATCAGGTCGTTATTATTTATAGTAGCTCCGATCAAATTGAAAAAACCTCTTGCAGAGCAATTATAAGTCGAGCTTAACTGGGAAAAAGCAGCATCTCCAACCAAACGTTCTTTTGTGGTGTATGATACTAACGTTCTACAAAAAATACAATAGTAGATTCAACTTACGGAGTAACTGGTTCAGCTAACTCGGTTCTGACAAACCTAATTCCTGATTTACCAACTGATGCAACTTTAGTATAAAGTGTGCCTATGTCAATACCTATTATACTCATATTAAATTATTATTAGAAAATAATAATTTAAAAATATAAAAAAAAATTTAACGGGATAAAAATTTACCAGACTAAAACAATCAAAAATAAATTTGATTCCTCAGTGGGACCACTAGTAATTTAAACCAAATTGGTCTACAAATTTGTCAAAATATGATATCACTTCGTCTGAAGTTCTGGGTTTGATTTTATTTAAAATTCTTATAAATTTAGTTTTGCTATCTTCGACATTTTGAGATTGTCCTTTTAATTCTTGTCTTAACTCTTCCATTCTTAGTTCCTTAAAGCATAAAAACAGTTCAGCCCCACTGTATCCTTTGGTTTTTTTAATTAGCACGTCAGTTGGACTCATATTGTTATGTATGAAAATTTTTTTTCTTGTTTCATCGTCTGGCAGTGGTACATAAATTAAATTGTCAAATCGGCCTGGGCGAAGTAAAGCTGAATCTAAATCAGTAGGTTTGTTCGTCGCTCCAATAACAATCAGACAATCGTTTTCAGATAAGCCATCCATTTCATTTAGGAGTTGACTTAAAATCCGAGACTCCACCATGCTCGAACTAGACGAATCGGAAAACCCTCTAGACTTTCCAATTGAGTCGATCTCATCAATAAAAATTATACTCGGTGAAAATTTTCTAGCCTTGCTAAATATTTCTCGTAATTTCCTCTCAGATTCACCAACCCACATTGAGAATATTTCTGGACCTTTAATGCTTATAAAATTCATAGAACTCTCAGTAGCAATACATTTGGCCATTGTCGTTTTGCTGTTACCCGGAGGCCCATATAGCAGTATTCCAGAACTGGGCTTTAGTGAGTATTTTGCAAACAGGGATTTATATAAGATTGGCCATTCAACTGCTTCTTTTAATTTTTGTTTTATTTCGTCGTAACCGATTATTGAGCTCCAATTAACGTTAGGAATTTCAATAATGAGTTCTTTCAAGGCTGATGGATAAATTTTATGGGCTAAATTCAATAAAATTTCATGTGAAAATGCACAAGAATTTTCAATCGAGTAATCAATCCCTTTGCGAACTAAAAGCAGCAAATCTGTTGCTACAAAGCCACTACAGCTGGTTACAATTTGATCTAATTTTTTATCATCAGTCATCCAAGCTTCAGAAACATTATTATTATTAAAAATTGATCGTAAAATTTCTTTTCGCGTTGTTGTATCGGGGACGGGGATTTCTATTTCACGATCTATACGACCAGGGCGACGAATAGCTTCATCGATATCTGATATCTTATTTGTCGTGCCTATAACGAAAGTAGAGGGATGAGAGAATGGCCCATCTAAGCAACTCAAAAAGGTATTCACAAGATCAAGTTTGTGTTGGGGTAGATTGTTTCTCTTTGGACACAATGCATCAATTTCATCAATCATTAGTAGTGTAAGTACCGAATGCTCTGAAAAAAGCTTTCTCGCCTCATTAAATAGAACTAACAGATCTTGCGGAGTACAAAATTCAGCTGCTGTTTTTCTAATAATTTTGAAACTTGCAACAGACGTGAATGCATCGTGGTCATAACGTTCTAACAATTCTTTTTCAATTATGTCACATAAAAAAGTTTTTCCCGTACCTGGTACTCCGTGAAGTAAAAAGCCTTTACATATTTGAAAACTAACGAGTTTTCCCGTAGGTGATATATATTTATCAATGTTGGATGCAAGCCGAGTAAAAAAAGTAATAATTTCGTCATAAATGTACGAGTAGCCTCCGAATTCTTTTTTCTTTTCATTATAATTCCTTAACACTTCATCATGGATATCTAGACATTCTAGTGTAAAAGGTTTCACAGAATTAACAAACCCCACATGCACAGTTTTATCTTTTTGAGTTTGTAATCGAACTATTTTAAAACTTATCTTAAAATCTAAAAACGAGCAAGAAATTATTTTATTCACACAAACATTAGAACCTCTCAAACGATTTCTCAATATAGTTAAAAATAAGGGCGGTATTTCAACGTCTTGTAATTTGCGGACAAATACTTTTTTGATCTCAAAATTGTTTGCATCAAGTAAAGGGTAAAAACTGAAAGTCACAGAGCTTTTTAAATGTTGAAAATTTTTTATTAGCTGAGAACTTACAAATAAAAATTTTGCAGCATCTTGATGTAAAACACAGTTGCAATATTCCACTTGGACTGATTCAATAAAACTTTCATCGTCTATATTATAAAGCAAAAAACCACTCCTATTAGACTTCTTTATTAAAGAATCAGCAGTTTTTAAATAAACTATTTTCTTCTTATTTTGCTGCTGTGATGTTGAATGAAGTTTTAGCGAGCAATTTATGTAATTGTTTTCTATTTTATCAGATGTTGCACAATCTTTGTCAAGGCAAGTACGCTTGTTTGGAATGTTATCGTTAAGTTGCATAATAACGTTGATTCTTTGACACGGCTAATTACAAAAACAAATAAACTGTTTAGTACTTCAGTATTTTTATTTATAAACTAAGAAACTAACATTAAGTTTGACATTTGCTAGTAATAGTATTTATATTCGTCCAATATTAACTTTTTGATTTTATTTAGTATTAAATTATTTGAATCATTTTGTTTCAATGAGTAGTATCTATTCTACCAATGAAAAAACAGTAAATAATCATTATGCTATATCGATTTCTTCACAAGAACTGATAATTGAATTAGTTGGTTTTATAAAAAATATTTTACTAAATTCTTCTTCGGTAGGAATCTGTTTGATTATACGTTATAATACCAATTACGCTTTGTGTGGTAGATTGTGTCAAATCGCTATAGAAGAATTGAGAGCTGAAGGACATGAAAATTATCACCTCTTTTGCGTAGCTTTCTACTCCGATGACAGCCCGTCAGAAAGAACGCTTCTCAATGAGATATTGTCTTTTATAAAAAGTGACGAAGTTATTTTCTTACAGCGCTTTTCCATTCCGGATAAAGACCATATCCAATTAAACAAACACGAACTAGGAAAAGTAGCTATTACTTTTAGTGAAAAAGCTGAAGACCTCATGGGTATGTCTATCGCTGAGATTCGTAATTTAACATATGTTTCTGCTTCGTATTTCACTGAAAATATTGTAAAATTTAACAAAGCCCATTTGGATGACACTAAATTAAACAGCCCTCTCGCTCGCTTGTTGTTTCGGCAAATTTATGAAATGATGGTTTTTTTAAGAGCTCCCCAGTCAATTATTTTTGAAGAAAACATCAAAGTAATGACTCCTCAAACTGTTTTTTCTGAAAATCCTTTATTATCGTTTTCCCCGTCTGTAATCGACGACTACATACTAGGAAAACCTGTTAACGAAAACATTCAAAAAACATTAGAAGAGCTTATTGATTATTCTGCAATAAATTATTAAAATAATTAGAACGGTCTTATATTAAACTTATTAATGTTATTATTCTATTAAGCAAATTAAACTTTGTTTGTATTAAAATACAATAAACAAATTAACAGTGTTAAAGAAAAACCTAATGGCATGAAAAATTCCCTAAATTTGGTACAAGCAAAGTTTTTAATCTGAATCAAAAGTAGAACTAGGTTGAAATACATTAGCATCAGGACATATTTTAGCAAGATAACTTTTAAAAAGCTTTCATGTCCTAGATCTTTTACAAGCAGTTCATCAGCTTCATCACCGTTCAGGTTCATACCTGCACTTTTTCGATTTTTTCTGATAGAAAAGGTATTACTTCGGTATTTATCGTAAAATAGTTTAACTAAAAACTTTAAACGTTCTAGTTTAATTAAATCTGAAAATGGAAGATCTACTGTAAGCCGTAGTTTATTTGTTAATTGGATTTCAGGGTAGGCTTTAGGACGTTTCGTACCAATTGATACTTTAGTTTTTATTTGTTCAGTGTATTTTTGAATTTTCGAATTATTAGGACGAGCTGGTCTAAATGATCGAAAATAAAACGCCTTTAACTTCAAATTAAATACTGTGAAATTGTAATCTAATAAGTAGTACATGAGGAGAAAGCTTTTTGATAAATATCCTGTTGGAACTAACAAAGTTTTAACTAAAGATTTTACTAATAAATTTTTAGCTCTAAACTTTTGAATTTCGAACATTCTTAAGGTATTATACTTCAAATCTGGAATGAAATTATTAAATAAACTAGTAATTAAAGCTATTGCAAAGTAGAAATAAAGCTTTGTTAGATTATGTAGTGACATATAATTTGTTTTTAATTTTTCAGGTATTGAAATAAAACGTTTACTTAAGAAGTAAAGATTATTATACAAGAATGTTGCGTTTGTTGACTTAATTTTTTTAGAATAAACAGTGTTTTCAATTTTAGTTTGAACAGAATATAATTTGTCTAAGAGAATAGACTTCAGTTCAAATATTGGTAATAGCTTCATGCCGACTTTTTGATCTAGATTAAAAGCAGTTATAGCAGAATTCAAAATAAACTTGAACATTTGACTCATTCTAATAATTGGCGAGAAGTATGACTTCTTGTTGTATTGCATTCTAGTATAGTTTAATGATTTTTCGATACTTGAATCTGTTCTGAGTATAATCCCGAGGTTAAGAATTATAGGTATGGAATGAATCAAGATTGCTATTTGTTTAATAAGTAAGATTTTTTCGCTAGAATCTGTTAAATTATTATAATTATAATCTCTTTTGCGTAACATTTTCGATAAATTAATACCGCTATGCTTCAGTATTTCATAAATAATGACAAACAGATAAAAACATAAACTCATCAATATATTAGGATATTGAAATAATTTATTAGTATATCGTCGAATCGGTTTAAGTTTTTTATGAGAAAATGTCTTTAATGACTTTCTTGTGACAACTTCACGTGAGAAAAAATGACGATAAATTTCATCTTCCAGATTAAGTTTCGATATAACTTCGCTCGATTTTGACATATCAAGTTTGTTTGAATTTAAATAATCATTCGATAACGGTAACGGTTTTGAAATTACGGTACAAAATGAGTCAAATAAGTCTGATTTAGTAATCTTATTGATTCCAGAAGTGATTTTTTCAGTTTTTGTACTTCTAATGTTAAAATTTAAATCATTATTTGAATCCGATAAACTACGAGTCAATAAGTTTGAAAACTTGTTAATTACATCTAAATAGATAAGTTTCGCTTGAGTATTATATTTTAATGAAACATTGTAAAATATTTTAAATTTAGAGTTTTTAAATATTGAGTTACTAGTATTCTTATCCCATTTTCGTTGCTTATCATTTATGTTTCTCTTTTTTCGGGTATTATCTATCTTTTTAGTCAACTTTAAATTTGAGAAGTTGTAATGGCGCTTAGTTTGATGTATTTTTTTATTTCTGAGTACTAATTTGGAGTTAATAATATCTAATAGTTCACGTTGAGACACCCTGTCATCGTAAAATGCTAATTTTTTTTTATATGAATTTAAATCTTCCTGAGATATATTTTTGATCAGAATAACTAAAAATGGATTCTTAGTTGCAATAAATACATTTTTGTCTTTTTTATTGGTATCAGATGAAGTAAGTTTTTTGTTATGAATCAGTTGATTAAAAAGCTGCACATACGTTTCTGCCTCTTTTGATACGATAATTGGATAAATTTCAGTCTTGTTATTATCATAAATTAAATGCTCATCATCAATGTGTGAATGGTCCTTGACAATTACATTACTTTTGTCTATATCTTCGTAAATATCAGAAAATAAATTTTGGTTCAATAGATATTTTTTAATATCATGTTCAAATAAATTATCATTGTCATTATCGTCAAAACAGAATGAACCAAATTTAGAAACAAGTTTTGGTAATTTCTTTAACCCACATTTTCTACAATAGTCTAAATTATTACAACAACTATCAATTAAATTATCAGGTTCTGGGTCTGTATAGCCTTTTGCTTTTTTGAACGCTGTTATATCATTATACGTATCATCGTTTTGTTTTAGATTAAAATAATAATAATTATTGTAATCGGTTTCAATATCATAGCTATTAGAACTCTGAGTAGTATCTTGTTTTTCTAGATAATTATAATCGAGTGTTTTTTTTATTGGTAACTCATAATTTTGAAAGATATTAACAGCAGGATTCTCAAAGAATCCTTGCTCATTAATAATCATTAGTTTATCTATGTGTTTTACGTGAATTATAATCTAACTAATATATACTGTTCTTTCGTAAGATAAATATTTTTTGGAACTTAGTGCGCAATGAGTCGCTGCGCAATAATTATTTTTTTTGCAAACATGGTTTTTTAACATTTGGCAATAGACGAATGAACCAATAGTTTATATGGTCATTATAGTTATGGTATAATAGGTTAGATCAAATTGAGATGACTATTTTATTTAAATATATTTAAAGAAAACTTAAATAATAAAAGAGAGTTTTTTGATTCAAATGTCTTTTGCAGATGCATTCACAAAAGATACTGGTCATTCTAATTTAGAATATGACGACAATGCATTTTTGTATTTTATATTCACGATTGGAATAGTCTTATTATTAGGTTTCACCGTTTCACTGGTATTATATTTCTTTAGAAAACCTAAAACATTTTTGTCAGAATGTAGTTGTTCTCAATGCAAGGTAAAAGTTCAGAATCTTGCTAAAAAAAACAAATTAAATACGCGATCTATCTCTATCTTTGCTTTTTACATCCTGTTTACTTCTTGCTTCATTAAGTTGTGCATTAGTAACCTTCCAAACCTTTCGGTACAAAAATCTTTTGACCCTTATCAAATTTTAGACGTCGATAAAACAAGCGATGAAGCATTACTGAAAAAAAAATTTAGAATTTTGTCGCTTAAATACCACCCAGACCGAAATCCTAACGATCCTACTGCAGCTGCGAAGTTTGTTTTATTGAAAAAAGCTTTCTCCACACTTACTGATCCACAATTGTTAGAAAACTACAAAAAATACGGTTCTCCTGATGGGGTGATTAGTAATACAAAACTTTCTATAGGGTTACCATCAATGCTCTTAAAAGAAGAATATCAGATTCCATTCTTATTTAGTTTTGTCACTTTTTTAACTCTTCTAATCCCTTCAATTTTCTTTATGTTGTACAGTTATGTTACAGAAAAAGGAATATTCGGATTAGAAAATACATCAGTTTATTATTTAACTGAAAATTTACAGTCAGATCTAAATACATATTATTTACTAAAGCTTATTTCTAAAATTAAAGAAGTTAAGAAAATTGTTTCAAAAGTATCTAAACTTCAAGCTGAAGAAATAAGAAAATTAGTTTCAATCGAGAAAATTATTTCTGAGGTTGAATTGAAAGATGATTGTGATGCTATTGTAGCATTTTGTTTATTTTTTATTTATTTGCAAAGAAAGAAACACTTGCTTTCTACCGATTTGCAAAAAATTCTGGATAGTTTGCTTATAATTTCTGAAGTTGCAACCAAGTTTGCTTTGCATCTTGCTTTTATTCATAGTTGGTGTGATTGCGTTCAAACTATTATTGGTCTTAGAAAGTGTATTAGGCAGTCAGTCATGATTAGTAGTTATTTTTTATGTCAAGCTCCGCATATTGACGAAGAGAAAGCATCTAATATCAACGAAATTCTTCTATCTGAGTTTGGTACTAAAAAAATGGCACATTTCAATAATTTTAAAGAGTTAATACACGAATTTTTAATTAACAGGGATAAATACTTGAAGAATTTAACAGAAGAACAAAACAATGATATTGAGCTGTTTTACAAATCTCTACCTACATATGTCATACGGGCCGAAGTATTTGTAGAAGATGAAGATGATATTGCTGTTGGTGATATTGCAACTATTTCAATCATGATAAAAAGAAACACAGCTGGAAACATAGTTAATTCTGGTTATTTCCACTGTCCATATTATCCTGAATATATTCAAGAAAGAATTTATATTTTCGTTTCTGATAAAAAAAACAATAGTTTGTATAATTGTCAGCAAGCCATTGTAACGGATAAAGAATACAAAATAAATTTTAATATACCTGTAACTGAATCAAATGAAAACAACTTGACCATTGCTGTATTTACAGATAGTTATTTTGCCAACGACAAGATGTTGGATGTCTCTTTCAAAGCCGCACCAAAAGAAAAATTAAAAAGAAGATCAATATTGCACAAAGATGATTTAATATTGGATAACGAAAATTTCGTAGGTTCTGCTTGGAAACTTTTCTAAAATAATAAGTATTTACTCATACACAATTAGTTATTACAATAATTTACTGCATAAACTATCAATGCTTAATTTGTTTGTTTTATGTTTAATATGATCTAGAACAGTTTTTGGTTCATATAGTAATAACTAAAAATAAAATGAAATCAAATTGATTAATTTTACCTTACTTTATAATTTGTTCTCAAATATTTTTAATGCGTATTAAACACATTGTGCAACATGAAATCAAATTAGCTTTCAAACAGTGGAGATCTACATGTGTTGAATTTTTTTTTTCAGTCGTTATACTTTTACTGACATTTGTTTATGCAAACCACTGGAGCTTTTATTTGTTTATCAACGATAAATCCAATTTCAGATTTGATGTCTTGTTTTGCATCACATTTTTGCTGTCTCAATACTTGTCAAATTCTTTGATTTTTCTGAGATATTGTAATAGGTTGACAAATAGCTATTTACGGTTGTTTGGATACTTAGACATACATTATGTTTTTGCAATAGCAATTAGAAACATTTTGGTTGCTCCAGTTTACTGGACTTCGATTATTCTGGTTGAAAGCCTTTTGATGAATACAAAAACAATGAAAATGGCATATCAAGCTTCTCTAGATATATCTCATTGCGTCGTACTATTGTTTGTATTTTGTGTATACACAGTTGCTACGACTTGTCAGTCTTTTATGCTGTCTACTATGGTTCAGTCAACTAGACTAGGTATATTGTTGCACACGATCGTTTTTTTGTTGTTGGTTTTTAACTCTTTAATTATAAGTAATGCAAAGCTAATTTCACCTTTTATTGTGTTATCGCCTCAAGCTCTTTTTGTTTACGCGCTTAAAGCAATACTTTCTAACTGTGCATTTTTTAGTGCTGAGAACAACCAGATTCCTTTGTATGCAATTGTGTTGCTACTATTAACCAGCACGTTTGTTTTCCTTTGTTTAGGTGTTTATTTCTTACGTGTGTTGCCAAACTCTTACGGAATTCACCGTAGATGGAACTTTTTTTTAAAGAAGTCCTACTTCACGTCGAAATATATCCGTCGTAGAAAAATATGGGAAGAGACATTTCCATATTATCATAATAACGCACTGATTGAACCTGCTATTAGCAAATTAGATACTGATAAAAGTCACTTTAAAGCTTACGTAACCTTGGATTCAGTCCATAAAATCTACACAGAAACTATATTTTCTTTCAGCAGACTGAGAAACTGGGTTATTACTTCTCTAGGGTTCGCTGGAGTTTCATCACCCATAGGAAATCACGTTTTGAAAGGTTTAACTTTTATTGGGTTTCCAAATGAAATAGTTGCAATAGTGTGCGCAAATCGCGGTGGTTCATCTACTTTTTTAAATATTATTGCCGGAATAATAGATAGTTCTAGCGGTTCTACTCTGATTTGTGGAACAGACTTGCGAAAGGCTGCTGCAAACGCAATCAAAAACATTGGATTTTCAAACATTTATTCTCTTAGTTGTTTTCATGAATATTTGAACGTTGAAGAGGTGTTTGAGTTCGTTCACAAAATCAAAAACAGAACGTCATTCAAAACACGAATTGCTGAGTACGAGTCTGAAGTAAGTCGTATTTTACAAGACCTCGCGATTGAGAATTTGCGTCATACGAAGCTTAAAAATCTTACTAATAGTCAAAAAAATTTAGTATCTATTGGGTTGGCGTTTGTTGGAAACCCAAAAGTTGTAATTATCGACGACATCGATTGCTATTTATATTTGTATCAGCGTGAAAAGGTTTGGAAGTTTTTGTTGAAGCATAAAACTCAAAGATGCATTTTGATTCACACCAAGAATATTAACGAAGCAATGTATCGAGCTGATAAATTAGCAATTATGATAAACGGAAAAATATCTGCATACGGGTCTTTAAAATTTTTGAAAAGCTGTTTTACTAATTTTTACACTATCCATATTCAATCAAAAGCGAATATTGAGAATTTGGATGCTGAACTGATGAAAATAGTTGAAAAAGACTTAATAATACTGGATAAAGGTTATAGACATATAACGTACCAATTAAACACACAACATACGAGCATGGTATATAACATATATCAGTATATTCTACTCAAGCATAAAGCATTTTCGATTTTGGAACTAAACATTTCTAACAATAGTTTTGAAATGATGCTTCGGAAGTGTTTAGTCAATAACACTGAATTTGTCTTAAATTATCGCTATTACCTGCAGCTGGAGCAAAATAGATTAAATAAACAAACAAACGATTTGAAATTGATAAACGAAAATAGCGACACCTTAGGTTCACTAAAAATACTTGTTCAAGACAATAAAAACCATAAAAAAGCATTATCTGTAAGCTTAAACGAAAAAGCGATTAAAACCTTACAAGCTCGAGAAACGCAAAGGCAAAGATCGCCGTCGTTGATCAAAGTTGTTGCTCCTGTAGAAAATCTCAAAAAAAGTAATAGCTTGTACAAAAACAACAAAGCTGAGGTTCTATATCTCGATGGCGGAATTTGCAGCGCTGATGAGTACTCACCCGTGGGAAGCGTTGAAACTATTGAGTATTTAGACGAACCCATTTATAAACATAACAAACAGTTAATTTTGGGTATGCGTTTAAAATATTTGTTTGAAACCAGATCGAAGTGGACCGAAGCTAAATCCGTATTCCGAAATGCTGTAAAACACTTTTGCTTGTTACTGTCGAGAAGATTACGTACGTTTAAGAATGATAGTTACGCCATAGTCTTTTATATAGCTGGCTCTTGTATTTTTGTTCTTTGCTTAATTTTCGAAATTGAAAAAGATTCTTCTATCTTTGTAAATAGTTTTTCGTCTCAGTCTTGGAAAAAATTTCTCCTACTTGAAAATGAATTTGGAATTGATCGTTGCAAAATGAATTTCTCTGATTTAAATGAAAATGCTCGGGTTACTTTGTATAGCAACCTGTATAAAAATACTCTCGTGCTTGCAATTGTACAAACTTCCATTGTGCCAATGTCAATTTTACTAGCCAATAGTTTAATTGATGTGTACCATCAGATTGACAGTTACTACGAAATAAAACAACAAATGGAATATTGTGGTGTATCAAAGTTTGTTTATTGGACACACGAAATCATTATTGACATTGTTTACTGTTTGATGATATTTTTTTCCGTGGCTGTAATCTGCTGCGTGTTTTCTACTAATACTGTTTTTAGGTCGAGATATTTTTTTTATTTACTTCTAGTTTGCTTTTTGAACTCTATAGTTAGCAGTAGCTATATCCATTTGTTGGGAAAATTGTTTTCTAAGCATCAGGCGATTCAGCTTTTAAACATTTGCTTGAGTGTATTGTTACCGTTGTTTACAATAAGTGTAATGCTGAAATATGAATTTCCAAAATTTCCTTTGTTTAGTTCTGACAATAAATCTCTGCAATTGGGTAATTTTTCTAACTATTTTGACGATAAAATCATGTATACATACAACATCCAGCAAATGAGCAAAAGCGGGATTAAGTATAATAATTTGGATGCTTTGATTGAGGATTTTAGGTTTTTTAAAACCAAAATAACGAACAATGAACTTTTTAAAATGGGAAACGGCGGATCTCGATCGTTGATTGAGCAATTGAAAACACTTCCTTTTTTTTCTCTCTATTCAGTTCTGATGATATTACTGCCACAAATTCCTTTTTCATACATGTTTTATCAAACATTTATGTATTGTCATTGCGGGCCTGACGCAAAATTTTGCAATGATAACAAACTCCAAAGTGAAATTATTTTTATTACAACCATTCAAAGTATTTCGATTATTGTGTACTTTTTATTATTCATAATAACGGAAGTTGCAGTTAGGGACGGTGTTGTAAAGCACAAGCTGAGAGGAAGTACAAAAAAAAAAGTATTCTCAGAAGCTTTGAAAGCTAAGTTCTATTTGATATATAACAACATAAAATCCAAGTTTGACAAAACGACCGAGCTTACGCTTGCCTCAAATAAACCTAATGATTTACAAGATGTGAGTCAGTTCCAAGGTATTAACAACGATGCAAAAAACGTACTGAACATTTCTCCATTGACAGAAATGGATAGCTTGAGTAAGTCAAACGAAATATTTTCCAGCACTAATTTAAAGATCGACCACAATGATTCGATCGACTGGGGCAATTACGAAATAATTAATAGCCCTGACTATGAAACGGAAAGCTGTATAATGAAACAAAAGTCGGTAATAACAAATAAAGATAATCATCACATTCAATCTAGCCCTAGTTCATATATAAATTCGGCTGTTGACCACAAAATTATAGACATCTGGGATCACGCAAAAAAAAGCAGTTCAATCGATTTTTCCGCTAAAAACAAAATCCATTCCGACAATTTGTTCAAAATAATTAATTTGTCTTACATTCGTCAGATCAAGAAACATTGCTTTTCAAAGTGTTACCTTAACATTGTATATCTAAATAATATATCACTCAGTGTCAAGAAAGGAGAAATCATCTGCATTACAAGTTCGCAGATTTGCGGGTTCGATAAACTGATCGCTCTACTGCGAGGAGTTCTTAATCCAACATTTGGAAACGTTGAACTGTTTAATGAAGATATCACTAATAACATGGAGTCGCTCAAGAAAAATATTGGCAATTGTGCTCAGTCCACATTTGGAATTGAATTTGAAGTTAAACCTGTTAAACACGTAGAATTTTTCGGCCGGTTGTATAATATTGACAAAAAATTCTTGAAACAAAGCTTAATTCCACAGTCCTTCAACCTGCTGCAATTTAAGGAATACAGAGACAAACATTTTAACCATTATTGCTTTTCCGATCATCAAAAAATAAGGTTTATTTTAACTACTTTTTTGTGCAAGAACTTAATATTGTTGGATTTTCCAACTATCAATATGGACTTCTTCACCTCAATGAACATTTGGAATATAATTTTGGAACTCAAGCAGCGTTACAACACAGGCGTCATTGTCTTAACAAGAGATTTTCACGAAGTCGAAATGATCGCCGATAAAGTTTACATCATGCAGGATGGAATGTTCATAAACGAATTCGAGACTAAAAACAATCGTTTAATTCAAGAACCCGCTTTTCAGATATTCTTCTCTTTAAAAAACGACTTTGAAGACAGATCTTCGAGTTATTTCGATTCTGAAGAAAACAACGACAAGAAATCTACTGAAAATAGCTTTTTGAACGATTTAACTGCGGTTCCACAAAAAGTTTTGTCAGACATAGTTGACAAATTCACAAAAGAATTAGCTTCTATGCAAAACATAAAAACATCCGTGATCGAAGAATATGACAACTATATAATGGTGATAATCTATACAAAAGCAAACTTATCGTGGTTAATGTTATATAACAGCATTATTGGTGTATTAGCAAAACCAGAATATCATCAACAGTTGGAATTCAACCTTCAACTTATGTCCCTAGAAACTTGGTTTAAATATTATCAAAATATATATGAATAAGGCATAAAAATCTTTGCTGTGTACTTTAATAGGCCTATATGTCTGTGGCGTGAAACAGTATTCAAATTAGATAAGTGATTTACTTTTCGATTAACCTTATTAATTAATTTTTTTAAGACTTTTCATATAAAACAAAAAATTTTTCTGGAGAAATTGCATCTAGGAATGGTACCCTCATATGTTTCGAATTTATTTGATTAAGGGCGATTAAAATAATTGTGTGAGTTTAAACAGTATGGTGGACGTTTCTAAGCTTGAGCTCACGCTGATTTGCTCTAAAATACTAGGCTTTATAGACAAAAATATAGTCGAGTGTTTACAAGATATAATAACTAACAATGAAGAGTCGGCATGGGTGTCGCAGATAATTATCATTTTGGAATTAGATCAACCCATAGCGGAAAAGCTAGTAGAAGCGATCATAGATTTAAAACAAAGTGAGACTGAGATAAAAAAAGATGTAAATTTTAAAAAACTCGAAGAACCAGCTCTAGTTAGTAAGAAAAAAATAAACATCAAAAAAGAGAGATATAAAGAACGGTTGGAGTATTTGAAAGATCGCGAAGTTTCGCAGGTCGAATTCTCAGAAAAGTATACCAAGTCTCGGCTTGAATTATACAATAAATTGGCCTTGCTGAACGATAGTCAGCTCACTAAAGACTTGGAAAAGTCTTTGAAAACGCTAGATCTGGCAAAGTCCGCTATTGAAAGTAGAGAAAAAGATTTAAAAAATGACAAGTTGTTTGTTTTCAAAACGGAGTACGACGAATGTGAGATGGAAAAGCAAAAATTGCTTAAAAATAATTTGACGGATGTGACTGAAAATAACAAACAAAAAACAGAGTCTTTAGGGGAAACACGTTTCGTAGATAACGCTTTAAGAAATCTTGATCAAGATTCGTTAACTTTCAAATTCTACAATAATCAGCACCGTTTGTTCGTCTATGATGAGGATAAACAAGTTAAGACAAATGACAACGCAGCTATCCTACAAAAGCGGTTACTCTACGAAAAAGAATTCGAGGAAGCGCAGAATATGTATCTAGATTTGCAAAAAAAAAGAAAAAAGCTTCCGATTTACTTGTTTAAAAATGAATTGCTCGAATGCATAAGAGACAATCCTGTGGTAATTCTCGTGGGCCAAACAGGAAGTGGTAAAACTACCCAGCTACCCCAGTATTTAGACGATGTAGGGTATACTAAGCATGGAATGATTTGCTGTACGCAGCCTCGTCGTGTGGCAGCAATGAGCGTGGCGAAACACGTTAGTAACGAGATGCTCGTGACATTAGGCAGAGAAGTCGGTTATAATGTTCGATTTGATAATAACGTCTCGCTCGACACCAAAATCTGTTTTTTAACGGATGGAATTCTTTTAAAACAGTTTGTTAATGACCCTACATTAGACCAGTATTCTGTCATTATAATTGATGAAGCACACGAAAGATCTTTGAACACCGATTTACTACTTGCTCTAATTAAGGATTTGTCTTTATATCGAAGTCACAACTTGAAAGTTATTGTTGCAAGTGCGACTATCGATGCTGAATTGTTTAGTACTTACTTCAACGGTGCGCCGATTTTTGAGGTTCCTGGTGAAAGCTTTCCGGTAAGATTGTTTTATTCTAGACAAGCTGAAAGCAATTATATTGAAGCGTGCGCCTCCACGGTAATACACATACATCACAATAGGCCAATGGATGGCGACATTTTAGTGTTTTTGCCGGGCCAACATGAGATTGAAATGTGTGGACAGATGATAGAGGAGATGAACAAAAAAGAAAAAAACTCTGACGAAGCTTCGTCACTGATCATTACTCACTTATATTCTAGTCAATCTCTAGACGAACAACAGAAAGTTTTTAATTCCGCGCCTGTTAATAAACGCAAAGTAATTCTTTCAACTAACATTGCTGAAACCTCATTGACCATTCCGCATATTACTTACGTGATTGATTCCGGGTTAGTGAAGCAAAACTTTTATAATTCCTCGAGCAACATGGAAATGCTCAGACTTGTTGTTTGTTCAAAAGCCTCGGCAATGCAACGAGCGGGTAGAGCAGGTCGTACAGGACCAGGATATTGTTTCCGGATCTATACGAAAGAAGCTTGGAAAACTCTTTTCGAAAATTCTAACGTGCCCGAAATAAATCGGTCTAACCTCACGGACACAGTTTTAACATTAAAATACTTAGGCATTGACGACGTGTTGAATTTTGACTACATTGAAAAACCAACAACTTCAGCGCTTACTTACGCTTTAAACAATTTGAGTTACTTGTCTATTATTAATTCAAACGGTACACTGACTCCGTTCGGGGAGTTTGTCGCTATGCTCCCATGTTCGACATACAATGCGTGTATGATAGTGAAAAGTATAATATATAATTGTATCTCCGACGCTCTAATATTAGTGGCATTATTGGAGTTGAATCAATCGATCATCATCGGCAAAGAGTCGCCTTTTACTTACTTGGCTGAACAGTTCGGAGACCACGTATACCTGGTAAATATTTACAAAAGATGGCAAACGAGCAATTACTGTTCAGACTGGTGCCGAAACAATTGTATTGATGAACGGTTGTTGGTCAAAGCTAAAAACATTTTCATTCAACTAGCTTCCATCTTAGAAAGTCATGGTGTTGAAATGACGCAGTCAGACGAAAACCATTCTGAAAGCCTGATTAAGTGCTTGGTTGCTGGTTATTTTCTGAATATTGCAATTAAGACTCGTCAATCAGACTATGAGTTGCTGAGCTTTCCAGAGGTGTCGGCTTTAATTCATCCTAGCAGCGTGCTTTTAAAGCAAAAAAAAAATTCGACGCAAAACAAAAATTTATTGTTGAAACTTCCATCGTACTTTTCAATGCCCAAGTTGGTTATCTATCACGAACTTTGGTTTACAACTAACAACTATTTGAAAATAGTGTCTCTGATTGAACCGGGCTGGCTGCACGAGGTCGTTCCGGCTTATTATAACAAAAACCGTGTTCTATTAGCCAATTTATAAGATCTAAAACTCAGAGCTTAGTAGAGCATAATTCAGCCAAGCAACTGGTTTGTTACGTTGCCGATAGTCATTAGTCTACGATAGCAGTGAGATTTTCATTTATGCAAATATAGATATATATTATTTATGGAATGAACAAGAAACAGCACTAGCAGTTCTTGTGCGTTAAGAAAAATTTAATTTGATTTAGTCTTGGAGACGCGCTCCGCCAGCCAGTCTAAACCTTCATACAATCCGTCTCCATTCTTACCACATGTGCCTTGTACATACCAGGTTCTGTCGGTGAGTTTATTTAATTCCAAGACATTTGTCAACTCTTGAGCTGTCATTGCACCCTTGATGTCTTGCTTATTAGCATAAATAAGCAGTACTGCATCGGATAATAATTCTTCTTTAAGTAACGTCTCAAGTTCTGCTTTAGCGGTAGGGATACGATCCTTGTCGTTGCAATCTATCACATAGATTAACGCGTGAGTACCAATGAAGTAATGCTTCCAAAGTGGTCGAATCTTTCCTTGACCTCCGATATCCCAAACGGTAAACGTGATGTTTCTGTACTGTACAGTTTCCACATTGAACCCAATCGTGGGAATTGTTGTTACTATTTCACCGAGTTTGAAACGGTATAAGATCGTGGTTTTGCCTGCGGCATCAAGCCCAAGCATTAAAATCCTACGTTCTTTTTTACTGAACCAGGTGAAAGAAAACAATTTACTTAGAGTAATACCCATTTTAGATCGACCTTATCTAATAATAATTTTAAGTTGTTCTGTTTCTTCTATTTATGAAATTATTTAATAAATCAATTAAAATCCTAAAAAGCCGGAACGAAAATTTTCTGTTGATCTCAGAGTACACGTCTATTTTATTAGATCTAAATTAATATGAAAGAAGACGGTACATTGGTTTATTTGTTTAGATTCAATTTTTTTAAATATATAAATTTAAAATTTATAACATATGCCCCTTAGAAAACCAACAAATCCATTCACAGACGCCCACCTACTCGTTGTGCCAAACACTGAAGTTTACGATTCCGTAGATTTAAGCGAGGATGAATATATTTCTCTGTTTCGCGAAATAAAAGAATATATAGTGGAGAAAGAACAACAAGACTCGGCCATTGCCGGCTGGAACGTTTTCTGCATGGACAATAATAAAGCAGACAAATTATTTTTTTGGAACGTTATTGCACGTTATGATAAAGACGGTGAAGACGAAATCAAATGGTACGTCGATTTAGGTCGGCGAGCTATATATTAGGATTTTCTGTATTTTAGTTGATTCTGTATTTTTGATTATGTTTTTATAAATAATCTTAATAATGAGTAGAGAAAGTACCTTAGTCTTAGACGTTGGTTCTTTACAAACAAATATAGGCCTGGCTGGTGATAACGCCCCTCTTTACTCGATACCGACATTGATAAGTTCAACTGGTAAAATTGGACAAGAAATAATCAACAATAAAAAAACGACGTACCCCATAAAGAAAAATTTAATTCATGACAAAGAAGCTTATTCCAAATTTCTCAAAAAAACGTCAGAGCTGGAATATACCGATGCCAAGTTGCCGTACTCGTATTTATTTTCGAACTACTACTACAGGCCTCCACGAATGAACGAAATTTTGGTTAACATTTGTTTTGAAGAACTTAATGCGGTTTCTATGTTTTGTGTCACATCGAGCCTATTGGCTCTTTACACTGCAGGTATTTCGACAGGGATCGTTGTCAGTTTGGATGATCAATCATCTACTGTAACTTGCATTTCTGACGGCTTGATTTCACCGGAAGCCTCGAGAAAATACGATTTAGATTGCGAATACATAACGAAATTCGCTATGCAGTCTTACGGATTGAACGTTGGGCTGTATGATAATGGAACTTACAGCGACAAGATACGGTTTAACGAACTGAGAAATCGCACTCTCAATTACGTTTCAACAGACGAAGAGAACAATGAATTTACTCTTCCAGATAACAGCAAAATTCAACTTGCAGATAAATCTGAACCAATATTGAACCAGGTTTTTTTGCCCTTCAACACTTTGCTGAGCAGTGCCACCGAGCGTCACGGGCTGCACTATTCAATCTACGAAACTTCTAACTCATATAAAACACAAGAAAAAAACCTGCTGTTTCAAAACTTGATTCTTACCGGACCTTTAGAACAAAGCGACGTGTTTCTGTATTGGCTTAAAAACAAGTTGAACGCTATCCTGCCAAGCACAACCAATCTAAAAATCAAAAACAATACTGCTTTTAATAACACAACGTGGAGAGGCGGGTCAATTTTCTGTTCGTTGTCGAACGCGTATAATATGTTCATAACAGAGCAAGACTACTTTGAGGTTGGCCCGACAATCATTCATCGTAAATTAATTTAATAAAATTTCGTGTTGTCAATTTATTCACTAACTGCCGCACTAACAGCTGAATTATAGTACCTAATTAGTTAGTGATTATTTCTAGCTTTAGCTTATAGGCAGCTTTTTCAATTGGCTAGTGGAATTTTTTTTTTTATGAAAGAATAAACTTGAGTTTTTATATAGATGGGAGTAAAAGGGTTGTGGACTTTGGTTGACTCCTTTTCTTCTCGTTTGCCCACGAAACAATTAGCTGGGCATAGAGTAGCAATAGATGCTAGTATCTGGATTGCGCAGTTTGTTACTGCAATGAAGGACAACGAAGCCAATACAATCCGAGGCGCTCATATATTAGGTTTTTGTAAACGAATTTTGATGTTAATGTCTCACAAGGTTTTGCCGGTTTTCATTTTTGATGGCAAGCCACCTGACTGCAAAATTGAGACATTATTAAAGCGATATAATGAAAAACTAAAGTATGAAAAATCTTTAAGAAAAGCTACAGATAAACTCATAAAAGACTTTATAAACCGTTCAAACGATCAAGTCGATAAAAAAAGGCAACAAATAAGCGCTGAAAACCGTGTAACTCCGATTGACATGCTTGTTTATGGCAAAGGGATGAAAGAATATGATGAGCAAGCGCGTCGCATGAAACGTCTTATGCGACTGGACGATTCGATTTTGGAAAATTCCGTCGAAGCCACCGAACTGCAGGATTTTAATCGTATAAACAAGAAAATAATCAGAACCCAGAATAAAGAACCGTATTACGAAATATCTGTGCGAGATGAAAACGATCAAACTCTGTATTTCATCATAAAAAATAAAGACTATTTTTCTTCTTCAGAGTTTGAATCGTTGGATTTACGATTGCAGTTCAAAATATTAATGGCGTACTACCATTTGATTGTTCGTGATTACAACGAAAAAATTGCCAGCAAGAGTTCAAACATTGTTGATCTCAGTAGGACTCAGTTAGACGCATATTTTAGTTCTAGAGTATATTTGAAGAAGCTGGAAGAAATAAAAAAACAGCTTGGAGAGTCATATTTAAAGGAAGTGTCTGAAAAAAAACATACTTCTGACAAAGACAAAGATGAAAACACTGAGTTTATTTTGGATGATGAATTCGAAAAGTTGTTGATGAATGAGATAAATATTGCTACTAATACCCATGTAGGGGAAACTGGCTGTTTACAAGCTAATATGTTTGAAATGAATTCCGACCTGAAATCCGTTGAGAAAACAGATTCTGAAGTTGTGCCAAAAAACTACGTCCAAAAGTTTAAAGTATCGTACTTGAATACTTCGTCAGGTCGAATATGGAATAAAATTCGCAATCCCCAAAACTACATTACAAAAGAAGTTCAAAATACACACTTTAATTCTAAATCAAGTGATAATGACTCTGACAATGGCGAAAGTTCAAGTAGCATTTTAAGTGAAGAGTCTGATTGGGCAGACGATTTGATCACTAGTTGTAAAAAATCCAATCCAAACGCTTCGATAAAATCATCTATGTATGAAAAAATTTCTGCAAACTTGTTAGAACAAGAAGATAATACAAGGTTCGTTATGCCGTCATTAAATCTAAAAAGCTGTACTAAAAATAATTTAATTCAAACCAATGCAATTATCGATGATGCAGCTAATACGCATTATCTAGAAGTTTCGAAAACTCTAAGAAAAGAGAATGAACTAAAAGTCAAGTTTGATCTATCCGACACGAAAACGCCTCGACAAGAGCGTGATACAGAATTAGATATTGATAACATTAAACGATTAGGTATGACTGATAGACTAAACGTTTCAAATACAGATAAAACTATTAACAAATTATCTATTGTCACTAAACCTTATTTTGTTTCTAAGATGCCAGAAGCCGTTTTAACCTCACCGGATAAATTTTCTGATAATATAAAAAAATCTGACTATTCAAATAAACTAGAAAATGAAACAGACCATCAAAAAAGCGACAACGAGTGCCAGTTAATTGAAATATGTGACGCCATTGAAAAAGTTCAATTTTCTAAAAATAATATTGCCGAAGACACTGGCATATATTCACCAGATGAAAAATTTGTTCAGTTAGAATCTGCCGTATTAAGCGAAGTGACTATTCCGGAGAGTATTAAGGAGAAGCTTTCAAATTTGCCGGACATAGAAAATCGGGCTGGCCCAGCTTCGGTTGAACACAACTATGACTCGAACGAAATTTCGAAGTTCGACAAACTTTTGAATTTGAAACCAGAATTATTTGAGCACAAAATACAAGGGGATAAAAATTATGGAAATAAAGCAATGCAGGATTTGTTTTCCGTGGCAGAAGAGCAGTTTTTCCATCAAGCCTATTATGAAGACTCCGTGTCTAAATCAATACTTTTTTCCGACGTTCAAATGTTGTTGGATTTTTTGGGTATTCCGTACTATATCGCACCGGCTGAAGCCGAAGCTCAAGCGTGTTATTTTGCGCAAACTGGAATTGTAGATTGTGTAATTAGCGAAGATTCAGATTGCATCCTATTTGGCGGTCCTTATATCATTAGAGATTTTTTTGAAAACTCGGAAGAGGTGAAATACTACGATATAAATAAAATCTTGAATCAACTTAACATCCAAAAACAAGAATTAGCATTGTTAGCATGTCTTGTAGGCTGTGATTACACAGAAGGTGTACATGGAATTGGAATTGTCAATGCTTTAGAAATAATCTCGGCGTTTGGAGGCTCTCGTGAGTCGATAAATTCGTTTTATCGATGGGCACGAAACTTGCTCGACAATAAAGACCCAGGCATTGAATCATATGATTCTGATGCAATTGTCGAGTTTAAAAAAAAACATAAGCATTATCGCCGGTTTTGGGTTTTTCCGGACGATTTTCCATCTCATGTTGCAATAGAAAATTTAGTTAAACCGTGCATTGCAAAAGAACAGCCTTATTTCATTTGGAACAAGCCGCTGGTTGGCGATCTTAAAAAGTATTTATATGCAAAATGTGGCTATTTGAGGAAATTTACGAACGAGTTTATCGAAGAGTACGTCAGACTACAATATTTGTGTTGTAATACTTCTCGACAAACAAAAATAATGGACTTTGGGCAACAAGAACCGAACCAAGAGCTCAGCAATATTTCAAATCGCTTGTTGTTATCTATTCAACGTTTACAAGATAAAAAGTAGATCATTAATTAGATTCTTTCAGCTATTTGCGTTTCACACTTTTTACCCCCGTTATCAGAAAAGATTATGTCAGTATATAAATAATTCAAATATAGCCTATTAAAATAAGTAATGAAATTTTTTTTCCAAGTGTGAAGTTAATGTAAGTCGTGCAAAAAAAAAATATTTAGGAAATTATAAATTGTATCATTTATCAAATCGCATAATAGAGTTAGTTATAAAAAATAATGAAGTACTGCTTTACGTAGAAGGTTAAAATATTATTGCTAAATTTGATTTACACAATACGATGATTGATAAGTTTAATTCTAGCTTGACAAAAGTTTTGCCAATGGTAGATAGGGTTTTAGAATCTGAAGTTGAATTTTATGTGTACAAATTGGTTCCAGTTTTGGCTGATAAAAATGTTTTAATTTTAATAGATGGTTCTTCACCAAACAATAACGACAAAGAAGTTTCATATTATTTTATGCGTGCCGTCAATAAGCAAATCGATCTTAATGTTAGTTTGAAAGAACACTGTTGGATTAAAGTTGCGCCAGGAACGAAAGTTTTGAAAAAAACCAACGGGGAAGTTATTCTGTACATAAAAGAATTTTCCTTTTCAAACAAGGAAGCTCATTCAATTGTTAAAGATGCTAAACTTGTTAATCATCCTCTTAGATTTAAACTAAACGACACGTTAGATGATATTCCGTCTGAGTTTAATTCCACCGAAATACACGAAGCTGCTAGCATAATAAATGAAACAAAGCGTTTAAAAATCTGTACAAATGAAAATGTAAGTAGTAAAAATGCTACTACGACTACAACCCGGGAGATGATAGCATCGGTACCTGTATCACGAAAAGAAGTGGAAAGCCACATTGTACTTGGAGACAACTCGTCAGAAACAAGTTCTATAAACGTTTTGAAGCGTAAAAAAATAATAGATTCAGAAGACTTTGAAGAGAGTGACGTTGTTTCTGTATGTGATATAAATAAATTTCTAATAACTTTTACTATAATAGTAAAAGTGACTTCTAAAACAGGACCAGTCAGTTACAATAACGCTAAGGGTAACGGTTTACGAATGAATTTTATATTTGCAGATAACACTGGGGAAATTGGATGTACTATCTGGAACAATGCAATAAATAGCTTCGCCGATGCGTTAACGAAAAATAATGTCTACAAAATCAAGAACGCTACAGTTAAAACAGCAAATCCTCGTTTTAAACTTACAGACCACGAATTCGAGTTAGACTTGAATCCGAACAAAGTCATCATCGAACAAGTCTCAGACTCAATTGTTTCCCGCTCTCCTTTAAAAATTCAAGATCTTAAGTGCGTATATTCAGAACCTGTGGGAGCTGTTATTGACACAATCGCCTATATAAGTCGTGTCTTTCCTTCTTCTAACATCGTCATAAAACGTACGGGCGCTATACAACGGCGAAAAACTATTGGGCTGTCTTCGGACGACACATCAAATGTATATTTGACTATATGGGGAAATACTTGCGATACGTTTCCAGATAAACTCGATAACAATTACATTTACATTGTTGAGCTATCTAAAGCGCAGGTTGACGAATACGAAGGTAGAAGGTTAAAACTAAAAAGCAACTCTAAAATTTTTATCTACAAGTATAAAAAAGCGATACATGCATTCGATGATACTTTTAACAATGCTTTTCCAACTGAGGAGGCGCTTCAGTTCTTGAAATCTATAAAGGACAAGGTGAACCAGACCTCAGACGACGTATCCGAATCGGGCAGCAAGTTGACTACAGTTTCTAAAATCCTCGAGTTTTTTGCTCATACAAAGATAAACGAGCTTTTGGAAAACACTAAGGGATATATGTTCACCGTTTTCGCTAATGTTACGAAAGTCCACTACAAAGCGAACGGCATATTTTGGTATGAGGCGTGTCCAACTTGCAATAAAAAAGTTGAAGAAATTAAAGATTTAAATAGCGAATGGCTTGATCACAAGATAGAATATTCTGTGACATATAAATGCAGTAATTGTAACGTACAGTTGGATAATCCTATAAAAAGATACAATTTCTTTATTGATATTGAAGATGAGACAGGTCTTATCAAGTGTATGATTTTCGACGAGGCAGCTACGGCGATGTTAGGATCGACTGTACAAAGTTTATTCCAATCGTCAGATTCAGACAATGAAGATAGTTTAGATCGACTGGACCACAACGACAAAATAAATTGTATAATCGGAAAACAATATAAATTTAAAATACGGTCTAAAGTAGAAAAGTTTTTAGACACCACAAAAATAAGACATGTAAGTTTAAGCATATCGAGAATTCTTGTTAGTACATCCAATCAGCGAATAGTCCAGATGACATAACACCAAAGTCTGACGCAGATATTTTAAATTTAGATATTTAGTAAATTTTTATGTAGTAAACAACTTATCACTACCATTATGCGGAATCCTCCTGGACAATTTTGGCTCGTCGCAAATTCGGCCTAATGGTACTCGCCTTTGTCAATATTCGTTTCACTTTTTCTTTGGCGCCAATATGATCAATAATTAAACTCACACCTTTTTTATTAACGCGAGCTGTTCGTCCAATACGATGGACGTAAGTGTATGAATCCAGTGGACATTGAAAATGAATTACCCAAGAAATATCCTCAATATGAAGCCCTCTGCTTGCAAGATCTGTTGACACAAGAACGTTGAGGTTTGATTTCTTGAAATTTTTTAAAGCGACTTCACGTTGTTTTTTGAGTTGAGAACCATGCATCAAAACATTTTTTATGTTATTATCAGTTAGTGCCTTATGTAACAACTTACATTGTGCCAATGAATTGGTAAATACGATGAATTTTTTAAGTTCTTTAGACAGCTTTTCTTTAAGGAAATATATCAGATACTCTTCTAAGTTAGAATTCAACAACACACAGTTTTGCTTAAATAATTTTTCTGATTCCACAGGCAATTCTCCCGTTAAGGTAATGACGTTATTAAGTTGAAGCAGGTCTACTTTACGCAAATTAATTTTATTGGTGGCTGACAAAATTATCTTGGTTAACAAAGGCTCGAAAGTCTTGTTTTCATCATTTTTGTTATCCAGATAAAATTTCTTTATTAGCGGTAAATTGTCAAGATGTGCAGTTTTTGCCGTATTATAGCCGCTATTTTCGAATATATTACACAGCTCTTGGTAAACAATGATCCAGTTGTTTAGTGACAGGTCTAAAAGCTTATCTACTTCATCTAATATGATAAAACGTAAAGAATTCTTCCAAACTTCCTCAATAAACTGTTCATTCCCTAAATAGACAAATGGAAGTCGAGAAGCCAAACATATGATTATGTTAGGATAGTTCATATATTGATACCCTATCGCGCTATCATGATGTACTGATTGTGGTTTTAAACTACCTTTGATAAGCTCTTTCTCATAGTTCAATGAGTATTTGCCTGATAAACAAACACACGAAAAGTCTATTTTGTCAGAACGAAACTTGACAAGTGTTTCTCTGCATTGATCAATAAGTTCTCTTGTAGGAAGTAAAATCAGCGTGTGAGTGAATGAGTTAATGTTAACTGCAACTGTGTAGTCAATAATTGGCAAAATGTAAGATAAAGTTTTACCGCTGCCAGTGGGCAAAAAGCAATGAATATCACGCTTGAATGATGCGTAGTTTGAACAGTTGTTAAGACGATTCTGAAACAGCCTAATGAAAGCCTGGTATTTATAAAGGCCTTTGATGCCAAATGAAGTTTTTAAAACTTCTTTAATGTGTTCATCGTACTCTTTCTGAGAACTAAATTGGTACATACACTACCAGAAAAGCATTACCGTGTTTTCCGAACAAGATAAACAATTATTACAAGGTCGAGATAAGTAGTGACAACGACTAGGTAATTGGTTTTGCTTTTATGGATATTTAATAATGAATAATTTTCAAGCTATTTTTCATTTTAGATAATTAAATTTATTCTGAAAAAATAAAAACGTTTTGATTGTTGAACAGGCATCTAAATGATTATTTATTAAAAATGATCTATTATGGAAGAGGGATCGTTTTTGCATTAAGTCTTTTTGCTAGAGCTCTTGGACCAGAAAACTTCGATTACTCGCCGTTTCTTGAGAGATTGATCAATTTTGAAAATGAACCTGATAAGTCAGCATATGAGGTATCTGATAGTGAGTTTGAAAACGTAAAAAGCTGTAGACGATACTGAAGTGAAATTACTTGATAAGAAAAAACTTTTTAAATTAAACTTGATAGAGGAAAATCTATATTTTGATGCAAATAGAATAATTGAAAAAAAACTTTTTACAAATTCTGACGTAATTAAGAATATATTGTTCAATTCGAATTTGTGTGAATTAATGAATAAGAAATACTTTTCATATTCCAAATATAAGTGTAAAACAAAAAACTCGAACAATGTGTTGAATACAGTTAAAAAACTTTACAACCTAATAAAAAAATAAGTTTAATATAAAATCGGTAAATGTAGTTCGGAATTTCGATTTAAGTTGAAAATAGTATATTTGAATGTTTTTTTGCTTCGTTTAGATTTTTTGTTAACACATCCGAATTTTAGCACATAGATTATAGAATTTTAAATGCAAATAAACATGAATAAACGTTGCAACCACACACATATTAATGAAATGTATAATCGTGTGACTTCAGTTCAAATAAGCCAGTGCCCTTACAAAGATTGAACAAAGAATGATAACACTAGTAAGATTGAAATGGGTGAGCAATTTTTAGACAGTTACTTACCATATCAGTTAATAGGTCCGATTTCTGCGAACTCAAGTAATCATGAGAAAGTCATATTGCGCAATACTCAAAAATCGGCTAATTCTGCAACCACGAACAAAATTCATTTTTCAAAGAAAAATAATAATGAAAAACCGCTGAACACAAAGTTCCTAAGTTTGAACAAATTTGGAAGGAACAAAAAAATTACACTGGCTAAATTAAAAAAATCGAATAAGTGTGCATCTGGAGAATACAGTAATCCAGATTCGATCAAAAATAGCGGTTCGTCGGAAGAAGAGTTTCAAAAAAACAAAGTCAAAGCTCCTGTTTCTCACAACAACGCAGGCTCTAAATTTAAACCGTGCAATTCTATACCAGGGAAACCGATAAATGTTTACGTGCCAAGCACACATGACGCTCAATGCCACGTATTAAAAGAAATCAAGAAAATTTCTTTCACCAGTCCGAAACATAATTCTTACGTTAAGAACGGACCAAGTAATATTAATTTTAGCTCTGCAACGAGCAGAGTAGATATGCACTTCAGCATAGAAAACAATCAAATATGTTTGCAAAGATTTCCATCATCGGACACGTCAAGTCAGAGTGAAAAGAAGTTAGAGTATTATTCGACTAATTGCAATCGGAAAAAACAAAACGTGGAAAACGTAGGCGCATCAGAGCCATTTAAAAGCGAGTTAAAAGAATTTAACAATAGGATAAATCAAAGTAATACTGTATTATCTGACGACAAATTACAACCGAAAAGATTAAATCAGCAAAACTATATAAATAATTTATTAGATACAAAATTATTACATATTAAAAAAGAAAGAAAGCCTTTAGAATACTTAATAAATATATATGAATCAAATACATGTATGCAAAGGATAACTACAAATGAAAACTCTTCTTGTAATAATTTAAATAATCAGCTGAGCCAGGAAAATGTTCAATCAAATATTAAAAATAAATTTGATCAAAAATTGTTGCCGAGCAATAAAGACGACGGCTACGAATCCCTTAGTAAAATAACAGAAAAAAAAGCTTTAGACATTGTAAACGACAAATCGTCGGTCACGCTCAAAAATTCCAATTTACAGGCTAACATAGGTTCTAATGGGTTTGTGTCTTACATGATGTTTTCTGCAGACTCCAATGACAACCTCAAACCCTACAAGCAAAACAAAGAAAACAAAATTCTTAATAAATTCAACACTGTCACGCACTTTTCAAGCCATATGAATTCAGTAAGGCAGGTAGAACCGATGAGCGGTGCGAATGATCCGCTGACTCAAATGAACAACACTACCAACAGAGCTCTTTACGATATGATGAATAACACAACGATGCGAAACCGCACTTCGATTCAATACCAAACGACCTGCGCTGGCAAACTGATGCCAAGATTAAAAACGAACCCAGCCTACGTTGATTTGAAGAATAAAGAAAACATAAACATTAGCGATTTAAACATAGAAAATACACAATTGCAAGAAAACGAAGAATTGGTAACGTTTACTTCAATCAGCACATATACTATCCAGAATAAAACTTTTTTCTATCCAAATAAGAACCAGTACAACATAAAAGTAATCTTGGTCAAGTCTTTTGCAAACAGTTTAATTTACCATTTGTCGCAGAAAGATTCGCCAATCAAAGTGATTATAGACGATTACAACATTGTTTTCAACGGAATACAGTGCGTTGGGGCACAGATATTGTGCAAAAAATTATCAAATCTTATCAATTTTATCAAACTTATTGGCAAGAAAAACAACCATTACATGATGACAGAACTGTTAATTGTAGATTTTATTATAGATAACTCAAAAGTAAATTTTTTAGCAGAAAGTTTAGTGACCTACATAAATGAACACAAAAACTTAACGCTAAGCAAGGTAGCTATAAGGATTATCAACGAAAAAGACAATGAATTTAAAAAACCGATAATTCAGTTATATTCAGTAAATTACAAAAAATTAGAAATAATTTTAGCGTATTTTATTTTACTCACTACCCGAGATTAATTTTTTTTGGCAAAATTTTATATTTCGAAATCTTGCGGCTGAATTATTTTATGAGCGTTAAGCAACGTAAAGTAACGAATTCTAATCACTCCGTCGACGCTGTAAGAACGAATAAACGATCAGTCAGTCATAAATTAGATGCAGATATAGGTATGCAAAAAAAAAATATATTTTTTAGTTGTTGAGCAGCTCCAATCGGGCTGGAAACCGAAACAAGATGTCGATCTACCTGGCTGCGGCGAGTTTTACTGCGCAACGTGCTGCAGAAATTTTATTAACGCAGCAACATTGGAAAGTAAGTTCTTTTAAATGTAAACTCTTTTAGCGCACTTAAAAACTAAACCACATAAAAGGCAAACAAAAAAAGTATTGTATGATGTGGCTAACCCTTATACACACAAAGAAGCTAACATGTACGCCGGTTTTGGATAATTATTTTTACATAAATAAATTTAGCTACTTAGGGCTTTGAATAGCTGGACAAACTTCGATCAGCTTTTTCACAATTTTTGACGTCCAGCGTGACAGCTCAGCGTCGAAATTCAAAAAGTTGTACAATTTGCTAATCGCCTAAAAAAATTAGAACAGTTTAAACTTACTTTAGTTAGTTGGCTGATATCGTCAATGCTCGAATTGACAGGGGGTTGTTGTTTTCCTAATTGATTAATTTTACAAAGAAGGTTTTCTGCAAGGTTCGTTAAAGTCAAAATCTCGATGAGCAAATTAGATAACTCTTTCATTAGTTTGCAGTAATCACGATAAGATAGAACGTTCGAACCAGATCGTTCGCTTAATGCTTTGATTCGGTCGAAATATTTCATGTTTATAGGAAACTGCTTTTCAGAAGTTAAGAATAAACGGCATAATGTTTTTTTCATATTGAGAAGCAAAATAGCAGGCAAAACTACTACTCGTGTAGACTTTGTCGGCTTTAATTGGAAAAACTCATATATTTGTTCTACAAAGATCTTTGACTCTTGCACGATCATTTTGCATTTTTTCTCTATGCTAAATTTGAGCAGTGATTCCTGTTCAAAGAACGCTGCTGCCACAGGCGTAAGTACATTTAAGTGTTTCTTGTTTATGACAATACAGGAAGTTATTTTTGAGCCTGAGCAGTAATGATAACTTTCAAATCTTTTAGGGAAAACTGTAATAAGAACTTGAGAGACTAGAATTAGAAAAACTGAACCAAAACGCTGATACCAAGATTTAGACAGATTATAATGTAATGGTTCGAACTTTTCGTTTAGAACTGCGTAGTATTGTTTAGAATCCGTACAAATAATTTTAGATTCGTGTTCGACAAAATTGGGTTTCCCGTTTTTGAAACAGCTTGGGTCCAAATCGCTCAAACAGTTGTTAGCGATGAACAGTGCGAGCTGCTGCAAATCGATGTGGGCAGAGTTCAGCGCAATGAGAATTTCATTGCTATTTGTAAGATAGTTCGCGTAAAGTATGTTATTAAGCATCATTCTGAAGTTTAGCAAGCATTTCACCAGTGCTAGTGAAAGCAGCGATCCGCCTAGGAGTCGAAATAAACTTACGTATTGGTAAATCGCGCTAAACGACAAACACATAGAATTTACTGAAACGTTTGTCTTTATCTTTATTTTATCCAAGAAATTGACGTGGGATATCAGTAAAAGTATCAAATAAGTGGGGAGCTGGAAAAAATCAACCATTCTCAACACATATACTGAAAAAATAAAAATTACAAGCGAGTAAACCAGTGTTTTTCGAATTTGCAAACTTGACTTTGATACTTTGTCAAGACGGTTTCTAAGAGACCAAGTCAATGGTTTGAATATCGCGTGCCAGTTCACTGCTAAGGATGTAAAAGTAAAAATAGTAATAAACAAAATCTCAAAAGTAGTCCAATAGGTGAAATAAGCAGGCATCATCAGTAAAAAAAATATCAGTAAGATGCGAATCAGAATTATTGTGAAAAAAGCCAATATACTGAACTTGGCTATTGACATGTCCAAACTACACGCTCTCCAAATGTGTTCATTCGTGTGGTATAAACAAATAGAAATCAAAATCAACAAATAGTGAAGTGTCAGTTCGACAAGTAACAGAACGTGTAATTTTTTAACTATAAAATTTTCAAGCTAGTTACTTACCATTAAAATTCAACAAAAATAGATATGTCTGGAACAACAGCAAAATGTTCGGCAAAAACGCTACAATAGCTGTACCAAACGCTCGCAAGAATTTTTCAATGCCTACGCGGTCTCGAAGAGCTTTTTCGTTGCAGCTTATTTCCTGAACAATGGATTCTGCATTGTACGTTTTATCATCAATCTTTTCTTCTAACTCGATTCTTATCTTGTCCTCCACATGATTATTCGAATTAACTTTTTTAATCAAGAAATACGACATGCCATGCAGAAAAATTATCCACTATATAAATTGCTAAAGAGTTGGATAAAAAAATTAATACTGAGATTAAATAATTTTTTAGAAAAAAAATATTTAAAGAAATCAGATAAAATGCTGAGCAGTTTGAAAATATTGGATTATAGAAAATTATAAATTGAAATCAGGTCAATGTGTAGAATTTTAATTATTTAGTAGCAGTTCTGACACACTCCAGTCTTCGTACTCGCCGTTGGGCAGATATCTTCGAACAATGAAAGGAATAGTTTTGGCAATAAGTTCTCTTTCCGCAAGGATAATTGGATCACTTTCACAATCAACTTGAACCGTCAACGGAGCGCCCAAACTGATTTGTAATGCTCTCGTTCCGATCAATTTAGCTTTTTCAAATCGTGTCATGTAGGGAGATGTTTTTCTTGCACCGATTGCAGGACGTGTATTAAGGCGATGGTTAGTTTCGTCTTCAGCAGGGAAAATGATACTGCTGTTTATGTCATCATTTGTTTGATTATTTAAAGAAGCATCGCTTAGATTATCGAAATCGCTGTTAAAGTCATCTGCGTCGCTTAAATTATTTAATATTTCATTCTCACTCATAGAATCTCATTTACTTTTGAAGACTAAAAGCTTAAAATAAAAAAATAATTTTTATTTTGTTAAGCTTAAATTAAAAAGCGATAAATAAAACAATATGGGGCCGTTCTGGGAATCGAACCCAGGACCTCTTCTACCCTAAAGAAGAATCATACCACTAGACCAAACGGCCGCTAGCTCATTAAATGGCATTAGCTGCCGTAGGAAATCGCGTTTCAAAAGTAATATAAATGCATATCTGCTTCTCGCATTAGCGATACCAGATGTTTAGCTTGGGAATTGATGCAATAAAATTATAAAAAATTAAAATTTTTATTATTAGCGATTTGATAAATAATTATTCATTAGCATGTATAAACAAGTCACAGTTCAATTTACAAGAATTAATTATATTTCAATTGAGTCGTTAGGCGCTATGGCCTAATGGTATGGCATCAGTCTACGAAACTGGGGATTCCGGGTTCGAACCCCGGTAGCGTCTTATTATTTTATTCTAATATTATTTTACCAAATTCGTGATGCAAGTTTTTTTTGGACATTGAGTCTTGGAGATCATAGTCAGCACTAGCTGTAGAAGATACTGAGGTAAATTTAGCTCGGGAGAATAAATTTCTTTTGTCATTTTTTTCAGTAGTTGTCCTAGCTTTTCCATCATACGCTAGCGTGGTCGGAAATAAAACATTAGGTGTAATAATATTATAAGCTGGACGATCATAAGAATTCAAATAAACTTTACTGTAACACGAATGCATTGATCTTCTAATATGCGGACGCCATAGTCGCATTGTAAGCTTATCCAGTGGTATAGCATTTTTTATGCAGGGTTCAATTGAACGGTAAAGTACGTGTTTATATTCTTCATTAAAACATGTAAATAAATTACAAACGTACGAAACTTGCTCTATAAAACTTGTACCTTTGATAGAATTGTAAAAAGAATGAAAGGGCATATATCGTAAATCTACCATTAAGTAGACAGCTAAATTGAACAAGGTTGTTATGCTTGAACCAAATCTGATTTTAAAAATAGTATAGTTGGGAATGTAAGCGTAATGGCCAATAAATCCCATTTTCCGTGTGATTTTACAACAAATAGAAGTATTTGTTCTGATATCGAAATCACGAAAATCACAAATATAAGTTTCACTGGTAACTGGACTACAACTTATTAAAAAGAGTAATTGACAGAATCCATTTGCCACAACTAAAGGAATCTTTTTTCCGGTAGCTTTACTATCAAAAACAATTTTCAAAATTAGTAAAGTTGCTAAAACGTTACTTCGCTTAAACCTTCTTGATTTAAAAATTGCAATAAATAAATCCAAAAATAATATAATTTCATCGAAAGTACAACCAGCTATGTAACCTAGTTCTGCGAGCTGCAAAATTCCAATGTTCCGATGTTCATTAGGCGCAAAATTTGAAACTAAGTGAACGATAAATTCCTTTGTATTGACCCAGTCGGATATTTGTTCAATTTCAGAAACAATGTGCTCCCAAGCGATCCACTCACTTTCTTGAACTCGGTAGTAATCCATATTTACGAGTTGTCACTTAAACAAATCAGTTAACACTAATTAACTTGCTGTGTAAAAATGCACAAAGAAGTTTTCCTATAAACATTGTTCAAACACTATTTTATTTGACTTGCTAAATCTATCAAAACACTGCATAATGTTATTAGTATATAACTGCTGATAAAATTTAATCAATATTTAGCTATTTAGTGGGTTGAGCGATAGAACAAATTTTCTTGTAAAGTTCATCACTAATATCATAAAGAACCAAAATATTATTTTTAATAGCAAAAATATTTGAATTTAAGCTCGATATTGCAAGCATCAAGCTGTACACTGATTTGTAACTACCGTTTAATTTTACTGGAAGATTTTTAGTGTCTATGATTTGAGAATAATACTTTTCAAAGTTTTCATCGGTTACATATTCAAACGGCTGTGTAACGTCTAGTTCTGAAAGATGAACCAAATTATTTGATTTATAAACTGAAAAGTTTAGATTAAAATTTCCTGTGACGCTTTTTAAGTTGTCAAAGTGAAAGTTTTCTTTGTTACGAAGTATTTTCAGCACATTACTACTCATAATAATATTTATTTAAAATTTAAAAAACTATTTAGATTTCAATGAGTTTTGAAAATGATGAGCTCACTCGTGACTTTTTGATAAAAGCAAATTTAGAAAGACGAAAAGCTTTTCAAATAGATGCGGATAATTTAAATGATACGGATAATGAACAACTTGATAATTTTGACATAGTTCCCACTTCAAAACACTCGAGCAAATTGTACAACTGGTGGGCGAATGAAGTTAGAATATTAAAAAACTACCAATCAGACGAAAAAGTAGCAACAACTACAAAACAGATCGAAACTATGTCGAGAAATTGTATAAAAAGCCCCGGAAGCGCCACAAATTTTGACTTTGAACAGTTATTTAACCTTTTATTAAGTTTATCTCCAGATTTATTGTATTATGAAAAAATATCAAGTTCTTTATACGCTATCAACAGTTTTTTGAAAACGTATGCTACTGAAAAAAATAAAGATCTGGCGGTGCAGAAATTACTCGTTACCATTCTAGACAATTACCAAATTTAAGGTTCAACTTTCTAAATTAGTATTGGCTTGGCTAGTTATTTCCAACAGTAATTCATCTAATACCTCATACAAATTGTTAATTTTACTCTCGCTAATTGTAATTCTTTCATCAATTTGTTCACTAGAATACTTAAAATAAACCAAATTTTTGGATATTCCATTGATCCAATCACTATTTTCCAAAGAAGTAAGCGTATTGTCGATGAGATAATGTTTGTCTACTAAAACCGTGTCAGTGAAGTTTTCATTTTTCATATTTAAAACGAATTCCGGTGATAGTAATTTAAAAATAGGTGTATATGATCCTATTTTATTTCTCATTTTGGTATTCACTTTTGCCAACGGCGTAAAAACAATAAATGTTTCAGAAACAATTTGGCTTGCATTGCTTAAACTGTGTGGAATAGTGTTTTTCAACACGAAATTCTCAAACACGTAGACGTGATTTTGTGAAAAAGCAAAAATAAAATCGAGCCTATTACTAAATCCAACGAGGGACTCGGTTCCTCTAACAAATGGTGAGTTTAGCGAATGAAACACAAGTGAGTTTAGGATTAAGCATGAACTATTTTCTTCTTTACAAAGATTAACTTGGTCGATTATAGTGCTTAAGCTGTAATTGATGAAACTAAACAACGATCGCTGGCTTTGAGTGTGCAACAGAACGATGTTATTGCTAGAAGTCAAAACTATTTTTCTGCACTCTTGAGTGTACTTTATTTTACAAACTATTTCCTCGCAACTTGGATCGTAGATTTCTATCCAAAAGTCGTCCAACAGCAAAATTAAATAGGTAGTGGTCGAAATCGAATAAGTCAAAACATCTATTATGTTGCTCAAAGGTCTGTAAGTTACGATGTTGTAGCTGCTTGAAAATGTATTAGTTTCAAAGGATAAGCAACTTTTACTAGCTGACTGGGCTTTCTTTTTGTTGATCAATTCATTACTCGAAACCAAAACCGCGCAATTACTAGTGAAGACGACAACGTATTGGTCGTTTTCTGTGAAACAAACTTTTTTTATTTTGCCAGGGTGAGAGTTGTCTAGCTGGAAGCTGGCAAGTTTGCTGCCTGTATTGAAATTGTAAAATAAAATTTGACGATCCTCCAAGACGATAAAAAAAACATTTTTAGAGTTGTTAAAACCAATACTGCTGGGAATCGCGTGAATAGAAAATGTCCTATATTCTTTTATGATGTCATGCAACGAAAAACAAGAGAGGATTGTTTTATTTTTATAAGAAACCAAACATACTTCACCATTTATAGCAATGTCTTTTATTTCACCGTTTAACTTCTTGTAATGAGAAATGCCCAGAGTATTTGAATTTATCACTTCAATCAAATTATTATTGCCAAAAATACAGTAGGTGTCAAACATTTGTTGTTTCCCGTAAATTCAATATCTCGTATGCAAAATAAACATAGTCAATTTGATTATTACAAGAGGTTTGGACTAAATTTTTTATTTTTCAAATATTGAAATTATTTATAATAAATTGATTTAGAATGGATTATGAAAACAAATTTTCACTTGTAAATAAGTTTGATCACGGGCTCTTTTTAAAGAATATAGAATCTCTAAACAATGTTGTTGCGTCCACCATAAAACTTAAGTTTGAAGTATTAGATAGTTTAGCAAGTTATACACGAAAGCAAAAAAGACAGTTACCAGCTTCCGAGTCGAAAAAAGTCGAACTAACTGCCAATGTATCAGAGATCTGTATCAAAATTTTCAAAAGTTTTGTTGTTGAGCAAAAGATTTCTTTTATAGAACTGCAAAAATTTCTCATAATACACGTGTTTGTATTTTGTCTTTATGAATTCACAAAAAGGCAACAAGAAAACTTCAAATATTCGGAAAATTCACAAATCAGCTGTTTGCAGCGTTTCATGCTGCAGAATACCTATCAATCCTTTGAAAGGATGTACAATATGCTGTTGAATTTGTCGGTAAATTCTTTGCTAAGTTTGTACTCAGTTGTTCACCAGTACGTAGGATCAGTTCATTTTTTTTTTTTTCACAATACTGCATACACAGACATTTATAAGGTTTTGATGCTTTACAAATTTCAACTTGAAGATTTAAAATTATTCAACAGCATGAAGTCTTATTTCCAAAACATCAACTACAAAATTTCTCCGTACTTCGCGTCATATCTAGTTCACAGCAACAAAATCTTTTTGGAACTTTATAATGAACTACACGACAAGTCAGTTAAAAGCGTTTTGCAATTCATAAAGTACTGTCTCAGTATTTCAAGCGAAAACAGTCAGCAGAACACGCGACTTAGTTCGTCGCTAAACGTGTCCAATAAAAATTTAAAATCCGATTGCTGTCTGCTGGACAAAGACGAGTGTGATTTCGTCATTTATTACATGCTGCTGGCCAAACTGCTTGTTTTTTCTGTTTTCAACTTGAAAAACATAGATGAAAGCTATTTATACACGATAAAAGGATTTAAAAGTTGTTTCATATATGTCGAAGACCTTTACACAACAATTCTAGCTAAATACGATAACTTGATGTTTTCCGTCCAAGCTTCAAACCGAGTTAT